GTACAGGAATTATTTTCTGATAAATGTTGCAAAATATCTGAAAAAGGCCTAGTATGTATATCCAGATGACACTCTGGCACTCAACATATTCATGAGCCACATTCTATTATGGTTGGGCTACAATAATTCCTTAATGTTAAGCATTATGTTTACATCATTAAGTACATCAGGTACATGAGATTGTGCACTTTACAGGGTGCACTTTAAACTTTACAGGGTGCACTTTACAGGGTGCATTTAAACTTTGCAGGGTGCGATTTACAGGGTGCACTTTAAACTTTACAAGGTGCACTTTACAGGATGAACTTTAAACTTTACAGGGTGCACTTTAAACTTTACAGGGTGCACTTTACAGGGTGCACTTTAAACTTTACAGGGTGCGATTTACAGGGTGCACTTTAAACTTTACAGGGTGCACTTTAAACTTTACAGGGTGCACTTTACAGGGTGCACTTTTACACATTTCAATTAGCGCAGCATTAAGGATCAAACTCACACTGCCAGGTCACACCCGCCCAAATTCTGGACTAATGAGATGATATAATTAGTCCACCTGTATCACATGGTCAAGGGGACTATTGCAGATATATAGTGCACGTTAACCATGTCATCATCAGATGATTGTTTATATTCATGTGCATGCACAGTAGCCATCTCTGTGTAACTTCCATCTTGATAAAGTTGTATGGATTTTCCTTATATTTCGATAGATTAGTTTGTTAAGTGAGATAGCTAAGCCATAACCAACTCATGACTAACCCTAAGGATCACAACAGGATGGCCAACCCACGGTTTTACATAACGTAGAAATGTGTAGCCAGATATGCACAAACTTACATTATGGATGCTGAAATATATGTGTTGTGCCCCACAGGATGCACAAAAAATATTCATTGTACAAAATTCTTGACAAGAAATATTGAGTTCCTGTTCTAAACAGAGACATACATCTGAAAGCACAATACACTACACTATTTCATTACTTTACAAGGCCCCGTGAAGATCCGGGGTAGAATAGGTCTTCAGCAACCCATGGACCCGTGAAGATCCAGGGTAGAATAGGTCTTCAGCAACCCATGGACCCGTGAAGATCTGGGGTAGAATGGGTCTTCAGCAACCCATGGACCCGTGAAGATCTGGGGTAGAATGGGTCTTCAGCAACCCATGGACCCGTGAAGATCCGGGGTAGAATGGGTCTTCAGCAACCCATGGACCCGTGAAGATCTGGGGTAGAATGGGTCTTCAGCAACCCATGGACCCGTGAAGATCTGGGGTAGCATAGGTCTTCAGCAACCCATGGACCCATGAAGATCAGGGGTAGAATAGGTCTTCAGCAACCCATGGACCCGTGAATATCCGGGGTAGAATAGGTATTCAGCAACCCATGCTTGCCACAAAAGGCGACTATGCTTGTCGTACGAGGCGACTAACGGGATCAGGTGGTCAGGGTCGCTGACTTGGTTGACACATGTCATCAGTTCCCAATTGCGCAGATCGATGCTCATGCTGTTGATCACTGGATTGTCTGGTCCAGACTCGATTATTTACAGACCGCTGCCATATTGCTGGAATATTGCTGAGTGCGGCGTAAAATTAACTCACTCACTCAAATGTCCTGTAGGGACTTGAATGTAGTATTCGGGGTTGACTTGAATGTAGTATTCGGGGTTCCCCAGAAGCCTTGGTTTTGTGAAGCAATTCTGCCACATTAAAACATCATAAAGACATGTAGATCCAAAAGTTGTGCCTGACCCTGAGGATTGTAAAAGAGTATTCTAGTGTTAAGGACCTACCCTAACACAATATACCTAAATACACACAAAGTTAGCCGCAGTTGGCAGCCAGTTAACACAATATAATCTTCTTCAGGTAAACTGCATTATTGTCAAGTACATACAATAGTGTAGAAAAGATGTAAAATGTTCGATAAATGTGGGTTTGATTGGTTGGTTTGTTGTTTAATGCTACACTCAGCAATATTCGGCGGCGGTGACTGTAAATAATCAAGTCTGGACCAGACAATCCAGTGATCGACAACATGAGCATCAGTCTACGCAATTGATAAAAGTGGGAGAAAGATAGTGAAAAAGAAGTTTTTGAAGGACAATAGTGTATTGGATGGACAGATCTTTACAGAAATCTTTTAGCAATACATATATATGAGGTTTAACTTTAAAATGCTTTGAATATGACTTCATTATCATAATCATGTTTACCAACTTGGTCTGCTTTGTCATATCATCAGAGTGTCATCAGGTATGCTATGAGTGTGTTTACGGCTGTTAAACATAATGACATGCTGATGACTAAGCTATGTACATTCTACCTTGTACTTATTGATCATGCTTTGAACATGTACAAGTTAGGTGTTCTTTTGAGCAATTATTTTATGTATCAAAATTTATAAGACTGCAATCTCATTAATGTGTGATATTTTATTTCCCTTTTACATAGGTGAAATACGAAATACAAAGATGGTGTGGGATTTCACTTTTGTGAACAAATTTAAGAACAAGAATCTGTATAACTTGAACTGGTTATCTACAAAGGTTTCAAAATTCCCACACCATTAAACTCGATAGTTATGATTATTATGATTATCATCACTTTCAGTATTTAAGCTTTACCCGCGGCAGTGGGGTAGTCCAGTGGTTAAAGTGTTCACTTGTCATGCCGAAGCCCTGGGTTTGATTCCCTACATGGGTACAAACTAAACTCTCTCACTCAAGGTTTAACCATGGTGTTAGGCAGGATGAGAGTCAATAAAAAAAAGTCTGTTTATAGTGTCAGATACATGCATTTAGCACAAACACATCAAAACTTTGCAACCAAACTCATACCAGCGATGCATAAATCTGTTCATTTAATCTAACAGGCTACTGAAGGGTCTCGGTGGTGATATGTCATATATACCAGGTACCATGCTTTTTTGTGACATAAATATACCTACATGTGAAACTTTGTGACAAAAGTATTTGTTGCAAGTGCATGTTATCTTTTCATTTAATACTGATTAATTAATTTGTTTTTAGGTATAATTCAATGTAGACGTCAAACTGACGTGCCTTTGGTTACAGAGAACGAAAAACGTTGAACTGTAATCAGTGTATGAAATAAGGCCCCTCCGACCGACCGAGACGAGCTAGATTTCTGATGGGCGGTCTAAATTTACCACTAGCCAGTCTGATGGTCTGGTAAAAACTGTAGGTAACATGTTCCATACATCTGAGTAAATACACCATATCTTAAAATCTAATTATTCATTGTAACTAATTATTTTTCTTTGGATTGGTAACTAAAACATCTTGAAGTTACCAGCCCTGATATCTGGCTGGGTTTTGGGCTTATTTCATACACAGCTGTAATGTCAGATGATATGTAAGATCTGGAAGCCGTTAGGTATGACTTGATTTTGGAAGCCGTTAGGAATGACTTGATTGATTATCTACTGATGGTTTCAGCTTACCTCTAATATGTAAAGATCTGGAAGCCGTTAGGCTTGATTGTTTCAGGACTACAGAAGCAGTGTACTGTAATGTCAGATGATAACATATGACTTGATTGTGACCTCTAACAGACTTGAATGGTGTAAGTGTGTCAGATGATATGTAAGATCTGGAAGCCAAGTAGGAATGACTTGATTGTTACCTCTAACAGACTTACTGATGGTTTCAGGACTACAGAAGCAGTGTACTGTAATGTCAGATGATATGTAAGATCTGGAAGCCGTTAGGAATGACTTGATTGTTACCTCTAACAGACTTACTGATGGTTTCAGGACTACAGAAGCAGTGTATGACAGATGATATGTAAGATCTGGAACAGTTAGGAATTTGATTGTGACCTCTGATGGTCTTACTGATGGTTTCAGGACTACAGAAGCAGTGTACTGTAATGTCAGATGATATGTAAGATCTGGAAGCCGTTAGGAATGACTTGATTGTTACCTCTAACAGACTTACTGATGGTTTCAGGACTACAGAAGCAGTGTACTGTAATGTCAGATGATATGTAAGATCTGGAAGCCGTTAGGAATGACTTGATTGTTACCTCTAACAGAATGTCAGAATGTCAGATGATATGTAAGATCTGGAAGCCGTTAGGAATGACTTGATTGTGACCTCTAACAGACTTACTAACAGACTTAGCTGATGGTTGATCAGGATTAGCATGAAGATTGTTACCTCTAACAGACTACTGTAAGGACTAAAGTCAGATGATATGTAAGATCTGGAAGCCGTTAGGTATGACTTGATTGTTACCTCTAACAGACTTACTGATGGTTTCAGGACTACAGAAGCAGTGTACTGTAATGTCAGATGATATGTAAGATCTGGAAGCCGTTAGGTATGACTTGATTGTGACCTCTAACAGACTTACTGATGGTTTCAGGACTACAGAAGCAGTGTACTGTAATGTCAGATGATATGTAAGATCTGGAAGCCGTTAGGATTTTGAGTTGATTGTTACCTCTAACAGGCTTACTGATGGTTTCAGGAGTACTAGGATATGATGTTGATTGTACTGTACCTCTAACAGACTTTACTGATGGTTTCAGGACAGGACCACACAGAAGAAGCAGTGTACTGTAATGTCAGATGATATGTAAGATCTGGAAATGTCTTGATGTGATAACAGACTTACTGATAATGTCAGATGATATGTAAGATCTGGAAGATCTGGAAGCAGTAAATGTCAGATGATATGTAAAGATCTGGAAGTTAGGTATGAGTTGATTGTGACCTCCTAACAGACTTACTGATGGTTTCAGGACTACAGAAGCAGTGTACTGTAATGTCAGATGATATGTAAGATCTGGAAGCAGGAGGACGAAGCAGTGTACTGGTATTAGGTATGACTTGATTGTGACCTCTAACAGACTTGCTGATGGTTTCAGGAGGACAGAAGCAGTGTACTGTAATGTCAGATGATATGTAAGATCTGGAAGCCATTAGGTATGACTTGATTGTGACCTCTAACAGACTTACTGATGGTTTCAGGACTACAGAAGCAGGGTGATATGAGCGGTCTGTTCCTGATCCGAGACAGCACCGTGTCCAGCAACGACTTTGCACTGTCGCTGGTGTGCAAGGGGAAGATATTCCACTTCCAGGTGCAGCAGACGTGTGAGTGCTTCTACCGCATCGACGATGGACCCATCATCCACGGTAAGCATCTGGTCAGCCTGTTCACTCTTCGATTCAGACAGAGACATATACCTCAATAGTATCCAGGGCCCTAATTCTCAAAATGTTCGTAACCTTAAGAATTCTTATCTTTGGTCATAGCCAGTGTGTTAAGAATGGGCTTAAGAAGTTCATATGGCTACAAACGTTTCGAGAGTAGCTAGCCTGGGTTTCGTATGATGCAACAATCCTGCGTATTTCATACAATTTTCTTCCAAAGTACTGATGTCTTAATCATAGAAATGTAACCAAGAACATTAATAACAGTTTCCCGTAATTAAAGTAATCCATTGTACAATTCAGACTACATCATACATGGCCATGTCATAAGCATGTCTTTGTGAATAATATCCAGTGTTGATCAATCAATTGTCTCCAGGTTTGGACAAACTGGTGACTCACTACACCGGCAATGCAAACGGACTCCCCACCAAACTCAGTAGCTTCTGCCGAGGGTCCATACCACCAAATACATGTCGGAAGTTTGGACCCAACAATCTTTTGCACCGGGCAGTTCTAGAGGGTAGGTGTCGTCTACAGATTATACCAGTTAGGAGGAGCACCTTGTTGTGGTACATCTCTGTGGAAGGTATAAACAATCTGTTGGGGGAAAATGTCAATGTAGTTTACCTAAATATATAGATCACCTTATGTTATGTTATTTTTATTAAGCATACATGCACTTTTTTTATAGGAAGATATGATATTTGTTTGAATTTCCTTTCAATCATTTGATTGACTGAATATCAGGTTCCACCCAACTATTTACTCGGTTTGTTTTGTAAATATTATTTTGTTGTAATATTTTTTGAATATCAAATATGATATGTTAAATATTGAACTAGAAAATGTTAAACTGTTTACTTAGTATGCATAAAATACACAATCATGGACAAATCTTTATCTGCTTTAACTGCCCTAGGGCCATACTTCATGTTTTAGCTAGCAGAGAAATATATATTTCTGTACATAATATTATTTTAACTAGCAGCAAAATATATTGATATGCATCATAACATTTGAACCAGCAGACAAATATATTGATATACGTCATGACCTTTCAACTAGCAGACAAATAAATTGGTGCTTGATTAATTTTATTGCGGGTTTGCGACTCGAACACAATAGTTCCTGTTAAGGAAGGTCCATATATACTTGAGGTTTCATCCTGGTTTGTTTAACCTACAAACTTTCCTTACGGTTTAACCTAAGATTTTATGTGCATTTTAATCTAGATTTTAAACAGTTTTCTGTTTAATCCCTGTGTTTCCTTACTGGTTATGACAGAACTACTCAAGATTTATCAATCACCATCCAATGAATCGTTTCAGTGTAGAAGGTGTTGGACATCATGAATGGAACTAAGACTGGTTTGGTGATGAGTCCACTATTTATACAAAAGGAAAACTTTGTTGAAACGTGTCAGGTGTACATTAACGTTCGTATAATTCCTTCTTGTGAAGGACCCTGCATTTCTTAAGTGCTTTATTGATTAGAAATACCTCTACAAAAAGATATCAATAAAATATATTGTGAAGCATCAGATCATGTTATGTCACATTCATGTTTTTGAATAATTTCAGTGACAATTCCTAAATTAAACCTGATTTATTTATATGGAGTACATTGTTTTTATGTATGCAACATCATATTGCTTTCTGTTTGCAGGTAAAAAAGATATTGTAAAGAGAATTTTGGCATATAGTACCTGCCCAGATGTTAATGCCAAAAATAAGATTGGTAAGTAACCATGGTAATATAAATTAAGACTTTTAAAAACTTTTTACAGTATTTTACTACTTTAGGAACTGATTATACAAATCAACCAACAGATATGTGTGTCATCTGTCACATAAAGTTATACATATTGGGACAGATCATAGTGAGCTATTATAGTTTTATGCCTATTTTGGGAATATTCAAACGGTTTTATGGCAGGATATTCACAGGTTTCTCACCTTGTTGACATGTGAGGAATAGAAGCTCAACTTTCTATGTGACAATCGATCAGATTGGATGGAAAACATTAATGAATTGGATTTCATAGCAAAGACATATGTTGTGCTTTTCACCACATTTGAATGTACACTTGATAAATTATTTTCTTCTGCCTCAAATTTGCAATAAATTGTATAGAAATTAATTGCTTTTTATCACATGCCATCGTATCCCAATTGCATAGGTAGATGCTTATGATGTGGATCACTTGATTGTCTGGTCTAGACTGGTGCCATATTACAACAAACAAAACTCATATTCCCGTCAAGCACCACAGTATCCTGTGGTTTGCTGTGACTGGTTCCATGTGTGTGTTGCAGGTTCTCTAGCTCTCCATGATGCTGCCTTCCATGGCTACTATGAAATTGTGGCTCAACTGCTGGACAGAGGGGCCGACGTGAAGATCAAGGACACAAATGGACACACCGCACTACATGTATGTCATGTATACTAGACTGACAAGTGAACCACAGTTTGGTGCATTTACCAAATATGTTAGGTCTACTTAACAGACGAATGAACCGGTGTGCAAAACTTTGCTAGCCAGTCGGGCTAGCTATGCCTGAAAGTTACTAGTCCACAAAATAATTCACTAGCCTGAAATTTGAAAGTAGAAACTAAGCAAAAAGATTACAAAAATAGATGAGAATAAGATATTTTCGGCATGACAAAGGTTTCATCTTCAAGTTGGGTCGGTGACTGTGGAGATTTACTGGCCCGACTAGATTTTTACTAGCCACGTGCGAGTGGGCCAGTGGCTATTTCGTACACTGGAGTGACCTAATATTGATGCCCGATATGTTAAATCAACTTAACACACAAGTGAACCCGAATTGATGCCAAATATTTTAAGTCTATTTAATGCACAAGTGAAACCCGAGTTGATGCTCAGTATGTTAAGTCTACGTAACACACAAGCGAACCCGAATTTGTGCCAAATATGTCACGTCTACTTATCTCATAAGTAAACTAGAATTGATGCAAAATATGTTGTGCAAGCGACCCCAAGTTTAGTTTTTTTTAATGATTACTATGCTTAACTCACAGATGAATATTAATTAAGGCTGTGGATGTTGAACCAACTCACAGGTGAATAAATGTCTGGATTGATGCTCATGAGGTCAATCACATGGATTCGATCATTTGTAGGCGCCCTTGTTAAAGCTTGAATATTGCTGGGTGCAGCATTAAACAACAAACCAACAATTTGTCATATTTACAGAGGGCCTGTGTAGCCAACCAACCGCGGGTAGCAGAACTACTCGTAAAGAAGGGTCACAGCAGCACTTCGGAACGCTGCTCTCAGACAGGCTGGGTGCCACTCCACGAAGCTGCCATGAGGGGTCACATCAGTTGTATCAAGGTCAGTACTATCACGTCCCCATACATTTGATGAACGTCAAGGTCACAGGGTATAAAGGATTTACTGAAAACCACGTACAGTAGAATACTTTTATAACGAACACGGATATAACAAACTGACAGCTATAGCGAATGTTTTAAAAGTCCCGAATAAACCTTATATTATTATATAAAAAGTGAATAGCAAACTACGGATATACCGAACTAATTTCAGTGGTCCCTTAGAGTTCGTTATTTTACTGTATAGCTTGGTATAGCTTTTCACTGTTGTTGCTACAGAGGCTGTAGCTATAAGATGTAATACAAGTACAGAATTCATGCAGTCTTTCTGTGATTTCAAATTAATTCAATCATTGATCTTTTAATGTCTGTCGCATGACATCCCTAGAATGTAACATTGCCGTAGCAACCAACATTTTCCTCATCTCAGCTGTTGGTTATGACTGAACGAGAGCACTACAGACAATGTCCATGGACATTTTGTGTGGTTATACATGCTACTTTGTCCATTTCAACTGAAACGTTGGCAGGGGAAAACTCCATACCACCCACAAATGTTAACCTACTGAATTTATGTGTCCAGATTGAATTTCTTCATTACTGTTTAAGCCCATTATTTAATTATCATTTAGATTTGGGCAGCAAAAACTCAATACCACATGGTCTACAAATGTTAACATACTTAATGTGTGTCTCCAGGTTGAAGGTCTCCATTACTGTTTTGCCCATTGCTTAATTATTGTTCATATTTTTCCTTACAGGTGCTATTAGAAAATGATGCTACTCCATTTCCCAGGAATGATGACAAGCAGACGCCCCCTGGACCTGGCACAGACGTACGGAAGGAGAGAATGTATCAATCATTTCAGTGAGTAGCGATCAACGCTGAGAATAGACACCATATTAGACATGTGTAGCTCTCTGTTCCGATAACTGCTTCTTCACAAACTTTGACACCAAACTTTGACAGTAATCTTTATGAACTCGACCGCCTCCGTGGTGTAGTGGTTGGAGCGTCTGCCCGGAGAGTGGAAGGTCGCGGGTTCAATCCCCGACCGCGTCATACCAAAAGACATTAACATATGGTACTTGTTGGTCCCTGCCTGGCGCTCGGCATTAATGGGTACAACAAGGACTGGTCGGCTCGGAGTGTCTGAGTGGGGTATTCCTGCTTCACTGCGGCATGGTATCTCAGTGGGCTAGCACTATAAAACCAGCTTAAGTCTGGGATAGTACAAGCTGCCGCACATACACATACACGTATGCACGTCGTCATATGAGCGCAATATTCTAAAGAACGACGTAAAACCCAATTTCACCTCACCTCACCTCACCTCACCTCACCTTTATGAACTCCCTTTCAGAGAAGGTATACCTACATGAAAAGTCCATGTTTTCTTGTATATGGACAGATGTTTTACAGAAAACAGCAGTGCAGAGGGGGTATATCATTTCCCGTTACCTATTACTGAAAAAGTTCTGAATTCATCAGCGTATAAGTGATTGATTGAGTTTGGTTTTACACCACTTTTAGCAATATTCCAGCATTGTCACGGCAGCGGAAACCAGGAATGGCCTTCACACATTGTACCCATTGAATGCTTTAGCCACAAGGCTACCCTACCACCATTTTCAGGATGTGTACAGTGTTCACTACAACTGATCCTTTGAAGAAAAAGAACCTGTTATGCTTTTGTTAAACTCCCCTCTTTAGGTGAAACCCATGCTTGTCATAAAAGGCAGGTTCAGGGGGTCAGACTTGATGTGTGTCATCTTCCAGTTACCTCGATCAATGATCATGACATCAGTCACTGGATTGTATGGTCCAAACTTGATTATTTAAAGGAAATTGTCTGTGGAGACACTATTTGTTCATGTTATTTGCATTTTCAGAAAATGTTGAGATTCATGATGTGCAGACCAAACGGGCAGATTGGTTCCACGCAGAACTAGATAGACAGGTAGGTGTAACACTGACATGGTTTACCATTGCCCAATGCCCGTATCTAGCAGATTCACACATTGGGCTAGTTAATTCATTACTGGTGCTTGTTGCTGATCCAATAATCAGGGACTTTAGCAGATCAAGATGCACAAATGTGACAAGTGCTTTGCCCCATTTTTCAGAGCTAGGTTGCATTGGCTTTGAAATTTGTTTTTACAAATGATTACCTAGGACCTGTAATCATGTCATGTTTCCTCAGAATGTGTGACTAGTCCTGCTAGACTGGTTAGTGAAATAAGGCCAATGATCCCCAGGAAGTTGAGATTGATAATATGATGTCCTGTTTGAGATTGAGGTTAAGATGATTGTCAAAAATATATTGGTCTAGGGTGATTTATCGACCTTCTTGAAAACCATCAAAATAAAAAAATAACACCCCATGCCCGTGTATGGGGCTACTGCGTTGCATTCCATGTGTTGTGTTAAGGGGTGGTGATATAGAGGAATGTTGGTGCGTTCATAAGATGCCTGTCTTTGAAAAGCTTAACACTAATGTTTCCTGTCCAAATTTAAAGTTCACAGGTTCCCTTACTGTTTTAAAGAGTATATATACGAAATATTTTTGGATCCCCAGGTTGAAACTATAATGTTGGGAAACACATGACATGTGTGTTTGATGCCAACTCTGAGTTGTTGATTCTATACCACAGGGAGCGTTGCAGATGTTTGAGTTGCACGGAATGAGGGAAGGATTGTTTTTGATTCGACCAAGCAAGAAACGCTATGGCTGGCATGTTCTCAGTTTGTGTCACAGTCGAGCTGCCTTCAACTACGAGATCAGGAACCAGGTAGGTCACTGCGGTCACCTGTTGTCAGACACCTGCCTACCCAACATATATGATAACAAAAAAATATGAACTGATTTAGGTCTGGAACATATGTAATATTTGGGATTACACTTTCTTAGTAAAGTACAGATTCTAGTACTTTTGTTGGGTTGAGTCCCATCAGGATTCGAACCCACACCCTCAGAGTCAGGTACCTAATCACAGCACACAAAGTCAGACGCCTAGACCGCTCAGCCACCATGGCCTCCACAAAAATGTAGAACAAACTTTATGGACAACAACTTCTTTTATTCGTGAGTGTAACGTTTCGATACAGATTCTTGACAAGCTTGACAACGATACAAGAATCTGTATCGAAACGTCGCACTTACAAATAAAAGAAGTTGTTATCCATAAAGTTTGTTCTATATTGCACTTCCCAACTTCTAAAATGCCACTCAAAGAAGTTTTCACAAAACTTGAAGTCGGACAACTGGTAGTCTAGACTGCTGAGTTTGTGTACCCCTCTGATAAGTGTAAATTGGCACGGCTCCCACAGCCGAAAGCTATGACTACACAATGCTATTTAGAAAGTGGTCAAATGTAACATGTTATATTTGGGATTACACTTTCTTAGAGTAAAGTACAGATTGTAGTACTTTGTTGGGTTAAGTCCCATCTGGGATTCTAACCCAACACTCTCAGAGTTTTAGGGCTTATGAAAACTGTAACAACCAGAATCATCTTTTCTGATGATTGACTATTTCATCCATAAGTGGCACTGATGCAAAAGTTCAATACTAGTAAGCATTATGATCAGAATAATTCAGTTTAAATTTTTGTGGATTAATATGAAATGAGAAAAAGTAGCCCAAAGTATGTTAGGGTTGACTGTTCTTTTTTCAATGTATTTAATGAAATAAACAGATAGATGTTTAGAATATGTAATTTTATGTCTTTCTTTATGTACAACTTTTTACAATATATGCATTTTCATTTTGTCTATAGTTATGCTAATGGCAAAACAATACATGTATGCAACAGTGTTGACACAATGACATATTTCTATGGTAACACCAAAAACAGACATTCAATGCAGTTAATCTGACCTCACTAACTCAACAAACTATATGCTTAGTTAATGAGTTAATTAGTAAGCTAAGGAAGTACTATAAAGTACTTGCTTTTAATTCAACAGTTAGAAGAAACAATTAATTTTTGGCAATATCTGGTGTCTGAAACTTAAAGGAGTGCTAGTCTGGGGCCTAATGGATGCCCCAGCATGTTTGATTGAGAGGATTCACACCTATAGTGACTGTAAACTCAAATTTAGTGATGTACATATGAATCAATCTGTTAATGATTACCCGAATACACAGATATATCATATGATGTCAAGTTGGAATGGTTAACATCTTTTCCATTGGTTAAGAGGCTGGTCATGTGACTGGGAAACTGACACTCATGAACCTATGAACGACATGATTTAAAGTTGACAGGAGACTCTTCTGATGTAAACACAGACAGACTACCTACACATTCTTGTGGAAAGTCCTTTGTATTCATGAATAATCCGGTGTTCATAGTTTGTCCTCACGCTATGAAAATTCCTTACTTAATAAGTTGTAATTAGTTTTCCATCAATTAACATTTGCACTGTTTTCGGCTGACATCTATCTTTCTGTTGTCTCATGTTGGTACTACACGTGTGTTTGCAATAGTGGTGTTCCGATTAATTCAAATAATCGAAGATTGATCACAGTGACCAAACGACCAAGCAATCGATCACATTTTCTCATAATCGAACATAAACAATTTTGGAACTACTGTTTTAGTATTTGAAATACTTGACAATGGAACATATCGTTGAAGTTGTCAGTGCATGAAAACGTGCTTAATTCTTAGAAAACTCACTTCACTAACTGAAAAGCCATGACTGAATATTTCTTGAGGACTCCAGGAAGTTTATGTTCATGATATATTAGTCATCACTTTAAAGTAGCAAGTTGCATTATGTTATAAATATCTGCAATAACAACCTGGATAGGAAAATCTGAAAAATGACGCTAACCAATTTTTTTCGATGATTGTTCGTTGGTAATGAAACAATCATCAATTGTGAGATTTCAACCAATTGCCAACACTAGTTTGCAAATATATGGTTACTGGTTTGAGTCTCACCCTGGTGATGGTGATCTGTTTGTTCCAAAGGGTGATAACTCTCCTTTAGAAATGAACTGACAGTGCAGCTGTGGCTTCAGTATGTGCTTGGACATCTTGTAACATGTAGAGACTGAGTCAAGTTCATGCTCTACCCTGTCACCTTCATTGAAAACAGACTTTACAACTGAATATTTTTCATTCGTGTTATGCTTGGTCCTTGGTCGAAAAGATGACGTGAATGTCCATTAAACTTAAAAGTTTAATCTTCAAGATCAAGTTACATTCGCCATGCCTTGGCGCACTGTTTACCAAGGGAGACAACTCCCAGTTCACTAAAAGTATTACCGTGAACTAATGAAACGAAATTAAATCACGTAATGTGACAATTACGTGTTTTGTAGTGATTTATTGTTTCAAATAGTATCATTTGATCATTTGTTCTTTCTTTAATCACAACAAAACTACCACAATGAATGACAAAATGATAAATGCCATTAAAAACAGTATAATGTCATATAATTTTCTACATTCAAAAAACAACAAGAAATCAGGGGTAATATTGAATTTAGTGAAAACTCAATTTATTTACCAACCTTTGTGTTATTTCCCACAAGTTCTCAGCTATTTCAGCATTCAAATCGGACAAATACATTTCATACTACCATGTGGTTAAATGTATTAATATCTTACGGTGGTGGGGCGGTGGGGTAGTCTAGTGGTTAAAGCGTTGGCTCGTCACGCCGAAGACTCGGGTTTTCTAATCCCCACATGGGTACAATGAGTGATGCCCATTTCTGGTGTCCCCCGCCGTGATGTTGCTGGAATATTGCTTAAAGCGGCGTAAAACCAAACTCAGTCAGTCAGGCAGTCAGGCAGTCTTACGGTGGTCATAGATCTAAATAATGATTATGCATCCTAATCTTTACTACCATCTGAGCACATCTGGCATGTCTGTTCAGGGCTTGGTTTAGATATACATACAAGGACAACATGTTATTGACCTTTGAAGATCCGGGTTAGAATTGGTCCTCAGTAAACCATGCTTGTTATAAGAGGCGACTGACGGATAGGTGGTCAGGCTCGCTGACTTGGTTGATCATGTCATCGTATCAAAATTGCGTAAATCAATGTTTGTGATCACTGGATTGTCTGGTCCAGACTCAATTATTTACAGATTGCCACCATATAGCTGGAATGTTGCTGAGTGTAGGGTTAAACAACAAACCAACCAACCAACCAATCAATCAACATGTTAGTGAAAAATGCATTGTAATATTTTTGTCTGTATGCCTTAAGCCTAAGTAAAAAATTTAAATTGCTTCTTCCTAACCACAAAAATTCTTCAAACACAGTCACTCAGTACCTCTAAAGGTATTTTTCAATCATACCTCATGTGTCACAAGTAATTTGCCATACATTCTTTGGCGTGACATCATCAAACTAGGTATTTCAAAATAATGTAATTATGTTGTAAACATTCCCTCTAGATTATGGTTGCCTTTTCCTGTGGGTACCACAGACACATACAGAATGGGGTCGGTGGGGTAGCCTAGTGGTTAAAGTGTTGGCTCCTCACGTCGAAGACCCAGGTTCGATTCCCCACATGGGCACAATGTGGAAGCCCATTTCTGGTGTCCCCAGCCGTGATATTGCTGGAATATTGCTAAAAGCGGCGTAAAACTAACCTTAGTCAGTCAGACATACAGAATGGAATTGAAAACTCTAACACTGGGAACTGACCAACATATGTTTCAACATTAATAAATTTATGGGACAAGGGTGCCAGCTGGTTTTGTTTGGTGGAACTTGACTGATTAGTTAGATCAAGGTCAATAAAGTGATCTCTGCTGGTTTCTGTGCAGGACTACGAGGGACGTATGGTCCACTACATCGACGATGGCCCCTACCTGCTCTCCCTAGAACACCTGGTGTACCACTACAGCCATCAGATGGACGGATTGCCTTGTGTGATTAATGCCTCCGTCAACTCAGGTAGAGACTTCACTTTCTCCATAGGGGCACTGAGCTAGTAAAGGGGGGACTCATCATGCTGAAGAACTGGAACCCTGTCCACAAAATGTTTGCATTTGCCATTCTAAAACCTATTATAAAGTACAGAGTTTCAACAGATGATAGCGCTATAAACGCTTTGTGGATCGAGCCCCTGCATAATGCCTTGCTCAATGGGTGAAAGAGCTCACATTCAGCATAAACCTTCTGCAGAAGAATCACACAACTTTGAAGTTCCGGGGGAAGCTTGTATTATGAGAAATTCTACAGTTTTCATTGGTAAAAGGACTGTGCTTTGACCCCAGTTGCGAATACAAACAATACGCATTACTGAAGTATCATCAAATCGTTACGGTTTGCCTTTAAGCATAGTTACACAGTAACATTACACCCTGGGTTTTGTTTCTACTGTGTGTGAAGGTAGTTTGGGTTCTTGGTTTTGTGGTAATTCTATTATGTTGCTGGAACATATAGTCCGTCAACTAAACTTTTGGCATTCTGTTTTTCACAATTTACCTTTTAACCAAAAATGCCTTCAAAATGTTTTTGTGCATACGCTCATTATATCTTATGACCTATCCAAGGTTTAAATTTAATAATTTTATGTCAATTATTAAAGCTTCTTCTTAAGAAGCCATCTGATAAAAATATGAAAAATAGAAGTAGTTATACAAGGGAGTAGAATGATACGATGGAACAGCCAACAACATGATGTGACACGCCTGCATCTTGTTTACATTGTTACACCTGCAAGCAAATCTACAGGGACTGTATAATCATCATAAATCCATTTTAAACAAGTAGATTCATTGAAGTCTTTAAAGACTGGTTGCTTGATCTCTTGTATCTCTATCCAAATTTGAGCAACAGCCTGCATATGGTATGCTTTGATACATTGATGTCATGGCCATCTTTTGAACAATATTTTCTTCAGTTTGCTTGACAATATGGATCGATGTAACCGACGCATGACGTCCCTCACAACCCTTCTATCGAATTCATCAAGCTTTGTTTTCTTTGCATGTTTTGAGACGGTCCCCGATTTAACTGCCATGTCATCGTCAGGTTCTGAAATAGTGTCATGGGAGATAACTCTTTGCAATATTCTTCTGCAGATCTTCATGGCATTAAATGTCTTTTGGAGAATCATTCAATTAAAAAATGATTTTTTTTTCGCTTTGCCTCACGCTTGAAAAAGTTGTAAACTCTTTTGATGATTTGCTGGTCATCTTTGTACAACATCGTTTTCCCTACAACCTGTGCGTGTTGAGGATCTTTGACATCACTTAAGCGTGCTAATGTAAATACCCGTGCATGTACATATCACACTGACACACATTTTACAGTGTTGTTGGCTTTTCTGTCAGGTGCGTTAACCCCTCGTAAAACTCTCCACAGTTTTACAATTATTATATGACAGGTTTAAAGGGAAAATCTTTAATAATCGTTTTAAAATTACTAAAATCAATATCTTGTTAGGTCACGGTATACAATTACCATGTGAACAGAGTAGGGTTTTAAAACATTTAGGCGTTTTATGTAAATTGTGAAAAACAGGGTGCCAAAAGTTAAGTTGACGGACTATAGCTGAAAGTCGGTAGCTGAAGTGTTGTTTGTTATTCTTCACTGCTGGTGCAGCAAGCTTCTGATGCTATGAAGAGCATTGTGAGGTTCTTAGTGAAAATAGCTTTGATATTCCTAGCACATTATGGAAAATTAATATTCTGAACCTATTAGACCTAGCAACATGTTATTAGACCTAGCAACATGAGGGGCGGGTGGGGTAGCCTAATGGTTAAAGCGTTGGCTTGTCACGCCGAAGACCTGGGTTCGATTCCCCACATGGGTACAATGTGTGAAGCCCATTTCTGGTGTCCCCCGCCGTGATGTTGCTGGAATATTGCTAAAAGCGGCGTAAAACCAAACTCAGTCAGTAGCAACATGTTACTAGTCTCAGGCTGATTAGTGGCTAGAGTCTACAATCTGTTAGTCATGTACAGATATGATGCCGAATCCCCGTCACAAAGCTTTTTGTAAAATGTATTTGGTGATATATGTGAAATGCTCAATCCCTAAGCCTCTGTGTGAAGTTTTGTGGAAGAAATTGTGGAAATTTGCCGAAGATTCAAGAAGTGTCATTCAGACATTCATATTCTGTCTCATGTTTAGAACAGTTTATAACCAGAGTGAGTGAGTTTAGTTTTACACCTCACTCAGCCTTGCCACCCGATTCCGTTAGTCTGTTGTAGAGGCATTCTAGAAGTTGTAAGCAGTAGGAAAGACAAGTGTTTATGGATGATCAACTTCTTTATTAGAGAACTAATTAGAGAACTAATCCCCTTGCCTAATTAGTTATCCCCACTCCCAATTCAATTCAATTCTTTATTCTCATAAACTACCTTGGTGGTACAAGAGCATATAATGTAAACATATGTACAAATACAAATTCAAATTCAAGATGGATTAGTAAACAACATATTAACATTTTTTTCTGACAAGAGATGAGAGATGTAGGATATATTTTGATAGATTTACTATGTCTTGAGATGTTTTTACAGATAATATTTTCATGGACTTTGTTTCATTGGGAAAAGAGGTTAGATGGGAGGGTAAATATTGTTCCCACTTGTATCCTATTCAGCATGATGTTATCTTGCTTCGTCTTATCTCATGTACATTTATGCTGTTTTCATTTTAATCATCTTGTTTTACCATCCATTGTCTTTGTTAGCCCTCATGTACCCTATATATACCAGTGTATGAAATAAGCCAAAAATCCAGCCAGACATCAGGGCTGGTAACATCAAAATGTTACCAGCCCAAAATGGATTTAACCAGACCAAATATGGTGAATTTACTCAGATGTATGGAACATCTAAATTTTTTACCAGACCATCGGGCTGGCTATCTGTAAATTTAGACCGTCTGTCAGAAATCTAGACCGTCTCGGGCGGTCGGAAGGGCTTTATTTCATACACTGCATATACCCTGCTGTACTCATTCACCACCTCATGCTTGAAGATGGTATAAGCATCTATACCAAAACGTCGCTATTGTACATTAAAGAAGGTGATCATCCATAAACACTTGTAATTCCGATCCCGTTACAATCTTACGACAAGCTTGGGTTACTGAAGACCAATTCTAACCCAGATCTTCACGGGTCATTTATAACCAGAACAAATATTGACAGCTTTATCATTTTCTTTTCATTATTCTTCCCAGCTAATAAAGTAATTGAGGCAATAGTGCCAAGATCACATGCTCTGGACAACAGCAGCCCAAGACCAACATCACAACCAGGTAAACACCAGCATTTATGTAACATCCTTTCTCGCTCATAAATAATCGTATTTATAACATGTATGATTGTTTTTTAATTGTTGAACTGTTTAGATGTGGATTTGACCTTGAAAATATCATTTTTGACTTTGCATGTGTTAGCTAATGTTTTTTTGCTGAGAGACCGTTCAATTAATTAACTGTCCTCCAACATTTAAATGTGTGGTTTATATCATGCACTCTAATATTAACAAACAATCAAACCCAGGTACCTGTAGGTCTAGAAAACTAGAAAGAAAGAAACACTTCTGCATTCTTCCAGGGCCCTTATTCTCAAAATGTTCGTAGCCCTAAGAATTCTTAACTTTGATCGTAGCCAATGTGTTAAGAATGAGCTTAAGATGTTCGTAGGGCTACAAACATTTTGGGAATAGCTAGCCAGGTCTGCAAACACTCACATCCAAGTTCCTAAAGGTCTATAAACAAAGAGTGACACAGAAGCTGTATGACTGACTTATCTTTCAGATATTCAACAATGGCAAGCAGACATTAAAAACAACTCTAAACTATCCTCATATGCTACCTACAAATCAGTTTTAAATGTCGAACACTATCTAACTCATATCAACTTAAGAATATACCGTCAAGCTTTGTCAAGATTTAGATGCGGATGCCACAATTTAAGGATTGAACTTGGACGAAGAATCGGAATAGATGTAGAAAGCAGATTATGTACACACTGCAGCCGCTACGGAATAGATGTAGTTGAAAATGAATTTCATTTCTTACTTGTATGCAAAGCTTTTTCAAATTTTCGAAAATCATATATTCACCCTGCATACCATGAACATCCCTCTGTTGCAGCATTTGTCAATCTTATCAATTCCACATGTCCTCAAACATTGCTAAATCTAAGTATGTATTCTTAGCATTTAAACTTTACCCATCGGTACACCAATAATGTTATTATCGTGCATTGTGTATTACTGTAGTACCTTGTGAAATTTATTCATCATTTATATATTGATGTATAACAAATATGTGTACATGCCGTTAATGTACGTCCTATGGGCCTGTGGCCTTTGACTTGAATGAATAAACAATGAAATGTGAAATAAACAAAGAGTGACACAGAAGCTGTATGACCGACTTATCTTTCAGATCCTCCCGGTCTTCCTCCCAGACCGACGTCTGAAGATATGTACTCTGCACCCAACAAGAACAACCCTGCTGCAAACGACCCTGTCACACCACCGGTTCCTGCTGGGGTGAGTCTCACTGACACACACTCACTTACTCATGTTCCTGGGTCACATTGTTATAAATACAGAGGTACATGTGGGTCCTGTACCCACTATATTATTTTTTGAGTGGGCATTATGAATGTTGAGTGGGTATTTCATTTTCCGTTAACCACTGCTTTTAAATATGTGGGTATTTCAGTGATTTTACTCACCTAAGTATATATGTCATTGAGTAAGTTTACTAAACAGGTATGTCCTGCCTTATGTCATACCTAATCAAAACCAACTTAAATATAATGGAAATGATTGCATAAAAAATCACTCATCCTATACTGACAGTACAACACTTGTCCTATACTAAACAGTACAACTTGATAGCAACCGATGTCTCTTTCATTACACAAGCAATTTTTTAAAATTTATTCCCTACGCATATGTTTTAAACTTTTTGCGATTCTAACATTTTAAATGCGTAATTGGTATGCATCAATTATTTCTCAATGCGTAATTGGGAATTTTCTATGAGTATTTTACCCGGATAGGCAGCTTATCTGGGCCTCTGAAATCGTGTCAGTTTTAGCTTATTCTTGGTCAAGACTCATATTTGGCCTTGTTTGTTTCAGCCTATCCCCAATCGGAAGCCAGCAGATGCAGAACCTCAGCAAACAAATTTAACACTGATCCCACTTTCGAAAATCAAAAAAGGTATTTTTTTCTAGTTCTTGTCTTTGTGTGTCAGGTTCTTGTGGATCTGTTCTTGACTAGAGGTCATCATCAAGCATCAGCAGTTGTCTTCCAGTTCTTGTCTACCACATGACATTCACTTCATTCACTGCAATTGTGCAGATCAATGCTCATGCTGTTGATCACTGGATTGTCTGGTCCAGACTCGATTATTTACAGACCGCTGCCATATAGCTGGAATATTGCTGAGTGAGGCGTAAAACTCAACTCAACTCACTCACTCACTCACTTCTTGTGTATGGCACTAACATGTATCTGTTGACAAGTTCGGCAAGCTCTACGACGTGACATTCACATACTTGGATACAATATAAGTTGTTCACTGGTCATGAGGGGGACATGGGTTGATGTACCCTGTATGTTTGTTTATGTTTCCTGACCCCGAACCATGGGCCCCGAGGGACCAGTGAACATTAATTTTTCTTACTGAACACCTCAGTGTTAATTTTGAACTGTTTAAAGCACGGGTATCAGATCACCTGAGTTAGGCAATCAGCCAAACGAACAACAGACGATAAGAAAAACAAATGTAGAGTTATCTCCCTTCCATTGATTTGCATTTGAAAAACATTGGTAATTTTTGTAATCATATGTGACTCAATTATTCAAGATAAATAATTACTAACATGAAGTACCAAATGAATTCCCACAGTTCGGCATTCCCAGCAGGTAACATAGAAAATGGTACTCGCTTGTAAACAGGAACCATTCATTGAAAATAATTGAAGAGTTCTCAGCCACACAGAACACGACGTTTATGTGTGAGGTGAGACAATGCGTGTTGACACTGTCGTCGGGATTGTCACTTTGCTCAGTGTGTTTTCCTTTAGCTGGGGTTCTATATCATGTTGTAACTCTTCCATGGCTAGAAGCCCTGTGGTATAACTGGAATATCATCAACTATTATACAACAGTGTCTCACTGTCTGATGCTCAGCTAAAGTTCATCATTCTGTGTGCAGGTTCGGAGCTAGGACAAGGAGAGTATGGCTCTGTGTTGAAGGGCACTTTAATAACACACAAGGGCACGTTCAGGAGTGAGAAGGTAAGTCACTTCATTCAGCCAGCCAAGATAAAATGAGAGATTCTTCTTTAGCACTATGTAGTTACTGGTGTACAGTCCGTTTGAGTCAGAAACGGACCGTTTCATCATTGTACAAAATTGCCACATAAATATAAATAGTACACATGTTTATCATTTACTAATACCCAACAGCTTTCCTTATATTTGAAAATTTTCCGGACTCCACCAAAAAAGTTCTTTAAGAAACTATCATTAAAATTTTGACACAGTTCACTATTTGTTACGAGGGAGGAGTGCAGAGAAAGGGACAGCCAGGTGTGCGAGAAAGGATGGAGACGGCACAGCACAGGCTAATGAATCAATAACTTGGTGGGCACTTGTGCACGTGCTTCTCTAACACCTGTCTGTCCCATTCTCTGCACTCCTCCCTCGTAACAAATAGTGAACTGTGTCAAAATTTTAATGAAAGTTTCTTAAAACCTTTTTGGGTGGAGTCCGGAAAATTTTCAAATATAAGAAAGCTGTTGGGTATTAGTAAATGATAAACATGTGTACTATTTATATTTATGTGGCAATTTTTTACAATGATAAAATTTGCAATTCATCGGTCCGTTTCTGACTCAAACGGACTGTACATTTGAATGAATGTTAGTTTTACATACAGATCAGGAGAGCAGAGGGTGCACTACCCCTTTTTTCAGACCTTCCCTGTTAACTGCACCTCAGTGGAGTCACTTTGTGACTTGGGTATCACAGTCCCCACCCATAAACAGGTCCAGCGCTGCCCTCATTCAGAATCCTTTAGGGCTGGGATGGGTCAAAATTTCCTACCCAGGTACCCGACGCCCTATTACCCAAGCTGACCCAGGTACCCGTTATAACACTAATTGCAAGTTATTTCCATTCAATAAAATCAGTCATGGTCAAGATTAAGAGCAGCATCTCGAAATATTTTAAAATCGCATCAGCCACAAAAGCAAACACATTCAGTCAATATTTCATTTATTAGTCACGTGATCAAAGCGGGTCCGGGTGTTCGGAACCCGGGCCCTACTCTTTACCCACACGTCTCGGTATCTGGGTTACTCGTCCCAGCCGTTGAACCTTTTGATCCATATCCGTAACATGTCCAATGTGTGACTCATTATATCTAACAATGTTTGATCAGATGTGATTCTTTGTCTTTATTCGTATCAAACTTGTAAAAGGCTATGCAAAGTTTAATTTATGTATAAGAATGTACATGTTTAATAGTGGGATTGTGCTTACTGAAAAGTATGTATATTGCTTGCAGATAGATGTGGCGCTAAAGACGTTCCATGATGGGTCCGTTGAGAATGCCAATAGTTTTCTGGCTGAAGCCAGAGTGATGCAGTCCCTTCAACACACCTGCATCCTGAGTCTGCTGGGCGTCTGTGAGGGACCACCTCTCATGCTGGTCAGTGTCAGGGACTGGGATAATGTGTGGGTAATATCTGCTGTAAATGACATGCTGCTTGGCGTAGACCTGCTGTAAGTGACATACTGGTTGACGTCTTCTGTGTTGATGTCTGCTGTAAGTGACATGCTGGTTGACGTCTGCTGAAAGTGACATGCTGGTTGACGTCTGCTGTAAGTGACATGCTGGTTGACATCTGCTGTAAGTGACATGCTGGTTGACGTCTGCTGTAAGTGACATACTGGTTGACGTCTGCTGTAAGTGACATGCTGGTTGACGTCTGCTGTGTTGACGTCTGCTGTAAGTGACATATTGGTTGACGTCTGCTGTAAGTGACATGTTGGTTGACGTCTGCTGTAAGTGACATGCTGGTGATGTCTGTGTGAATGACATGCTGGTTGACGTCTGCTGTAAGTGACATGCTGGTGATGTCTGTGTGAATGACATGCTGGTTGACGTCTGCTGTAAGTGACATGCTGGTGATGTCTGTGTAAGTGACATACTGGTTGACGTCTGCTGTAAGTGACATGCAGGTTGACGTCTGCTGTCAGTGATATGCTGGTGATGTCTGTGTGAATGACATGCTGGTTGATGTCTGCTGTAAGTGACATGCTGGTTGACGTCTGCTGTAAGTGACATGCTGGTTGACGTCTGCTGTAAGTGACATGCAGGTGATGTCTGTGTGAATGACATGCTGGTTGACATCTGCTGTAATTTACATGCTGGTGATGTCTGTGTGAAAGACATGCTGGTTGACGTCTCCTGTAAGTGACATGCTGGTGATGTCTGTGTAAGTGACATGCTGGTTGACGTCTGCTGTAAGTGACATGCAGGTTGACGTCTGCTGTAAGTGACATGCTGGTGATGTCTGTGTGAATGACATGCTGGTTGACATCTGCTGTAAGTGACATGCTGGTGATGTCTGTGTGAATGACATGCTGGTTGACGTCTGCTGTAAGTGACATGCTGGTGATGTCTGTGTGAAAGACATGCAGGTTGACAACTACTGTAAGTGACATGCTGGAGATGCCTGCTGTCAGTGACATGCTGGTTGATGTCTCCTGTAAGTGACATGCTGGTGATGTCTGTGTGAATGACATGCTGGTTGACGTCTGCTGTAAGTGACATGCTGGTGATGTCTGTGTAAGTGACATGCAGGTTGACGTCTGCTGTAAGTGACATGCTGGTGATGTCTGTGTGAATGACATGCTGGTTGACATCTGATGTAAGTGACATGCTGGTGATGTCTGTGTGAATGACATGCTGGTTGACATCTGCTGTAAGTGACATGCAGGTGATGTCTGTGTGAATGACATGCTGGTTGACATCTGCTGTAAGTGACATGCTGGTGATGTCTGTGTGAATGACATGCTGGTTGACATCTGCTGTAAGTGACATGCTGGTGATGTCTGTGTAAGTGACATGCTGGTTGACGTATGCTGTAAGTGACATGCTGTTGATGTCTGTGTGAATGTCCTACTATACCCTGTATTCATTTTGTCTCAATCAGGTTGAGGAGTATGTGCAGATGGGGTCCATGCTGGACTTCCTGCTGGACCACGAGGAGCGGATTGATGTGAAGACAGACCTGTACCTGTGGGCAGCACAGATAGCTAACGGCATGAAGTACCTTGAGACTCAAAGACTTGTTCACCGAGATCTGGCCGCAAGAAACATCCTGTTGAAGGATATGAAGCAGGTTTGTAGTCTGATTGGTCAGTGACGATGGTCTGCCTGGAGAGTGGAATGTCAATGTGTCGAACATGACCAATCACATGCAAAGATGTTCAAAGATGGTTCTTGTTGTATCAATGCTGAGAATAATGGGTATTTGTCATATATTGTAATTCAAATCCAATTCCACATGCCAAATCCTTGTCCGCATTGTAATCCTACTTTTTGCCAAAAGTCAGATTTTACACTGACCCGGCCCTGTACATGGTCGGATGGTGAATACAGCATGGCAAGCATGGCTGTTGTTGTGTTGTCCTTGAATGAAGTTGGAGGTTATGGCTATTAATGATGAAATAAGCTGACAATTCAACAGTATTGATAACAGGCTACTTGGCTCAGAATCAGTGGGCTGTCCATGTTAAAACTGCAGCATGGTTCAGTGCATTCGCGACCAACTCGTGTTATTCCGGGACATGTCGAATAGCGACACATATTCTAATGTAATTATTACCAGCTGTTCACCTCACCTTATATTTCCAATTATGTTAATTTTCTAAGTAGGGTTTAATAATCACAAATGGGAATTGTTTTATTGAATATACACATTTATTTTTTTAGCTACATTAAATCCCAAAGCAGATACTCAAAAATGACTTTAAAATATTTCTCAAACTGAATATTCGTGTAACCTTGCTGTCACACACCTGGTGGAATTTTACATGACTTTGCTGAAAAAAAATATGAATGACCAATAAAACAGTCAGATTTAAATATCCCCAGAGCTGTGAAATATAAGCGCAATGTTAAAGATTAAAATTGATTAGTTACATACAAATATGATATTATTGTTTTGAAACTCGTAGCGATTATAATTACATTTCATAAAATTATTCAAAGCGCACATACAATTTCCAAAACAAGGCCGCAAGATCATCAGAAATACACTCAATTGGACCCATGAGAGCTGGAATGTCAACAAACACACATGCATCTGTTTAAACCTCTAGCCGTTAAAAACTTCATAACAGGCAGCAAAATCCTGTTACCAACATTCTTTGTTCTTTTAATATGACGCTATATATTTTTCATGATTTTCTAAACAATGTCATAATGCCATAAACGATTTACGTACTTGGGATTATTTTTATCAAAGCACAGCAGTCATAACGCGAGTTCTGATTGGATTGTCATATTTTCGCACATAACAAGCATCGATAGGGTGAGGAGTCTTCTTGGAGGTTACGGAAAGAGGCGAGTGGTGACAAATGGGTTCAGTGGACTGGCACTTTCAGTCCAGCATTAGTCTGGACTAGTGCAAGAAGAGAGACACACATTCTGCACGTTATTTCCTTTTGGAACTAACTCTTAACAATTTACTTTGCAGAAAAAAACATCAGATAGCCTGCTCACAATATTTTGCTCCTATGTACCAAGCCATATGGGCTTGTTTGAAGGTTCACCTCATATGACTTACCATGTATTGTAATTTATACGAAACATCTTCTTAAATTATTCCTCATCTTCACTTTCAGATTAAAATCAGCGACTTTGGTCTGTCAAGAGCTGTCGGCACAGAAAGTGATTATTACAAGGCTACACATGGGGGCAGATGGCCCATCAAATGGTTTGTGTAATAGCAGATATAGAAGTCTAGTATTTTTATCCCCCTATATTATATACCGGGGGGATAAAAATACTACCCCCGGTATATAATATAGGGGGATTTAGTCAACGCCTCATCTGTCTGTCCGTCCATCCGCCCGTCTGTCTGTAATCATTTCGTTCGCAGAGCATAACTAAAAACCATTTTTCAACAAAAATTAGTAGATGTATCAAACAGAACCTAAAGTGGTGCCTATTGCTACTTACAGATTTTTGGCATTTATATATTTCTTGATTTCCGTGGAGATAATTTGGACTCAAAAAGGGGATGATTTCATTTCCAGAGCACAACTCGAAAACTTTTCAATATCTTTTAACAAGACTTGGCAGATGTATCAGACAGATCCCAAAGTGGTGCCTTTAGCTATTTGCAGCTTTTTGGCATTTTTATTTTGCTGATTTCAATGGAAACAATTTGGACTTGGTCTCAAAAGGAGGAGTTGAATTTTGATTCCAGAGCACTGCACAAAAACTTCAAAGACATCCCATCCCAGCCTGTAGTGAACACGAGATGATGTGACGCCTTTCACTATTTAGGAAGTATTGTCATACGATAAGAACCTAAAACTGCAGCTGTGTACCTGGCGCCGGAGTTCAAATTTATTATATTTTTCCTTATCCTGACTCATGCTCTTTTTCTTGTCTTCTTCTTTTTGCGAACATAGTGGAACACTTGTATCTCCTTAATTGAAGCTCCCTTCAATGTAAAATCACTAATTAGTACTCACCAAGAGTTGCCTCCCTTTGCCTTTGCGCGGGAAAGGCGGCACCACCTTCTGGCCTCATGCTTCACTCTCTCCTTCGCCCAGTGAGCAGGATGTGAGAGCGCCTGTGTCTCCTTACACACTATATCCTTTGGTTATTCTTAGTTAGTTACCTCCTATAGGTTACTATAGAGGTGTAGCTAGTATCCTTCATTAATATGTATTGATAATTATTCGTATTTCTACTGTTTATTCACGGGATTTCGTGATTGTTCAGCTAGTTGACGTTGATGAAAATCTGTACCATTTGTAGATTACGTTTTTCTGCTGCTGACCCGCATGTAATATGCCCTAGCTGTACTACGCCTTGTGCGTTTGATTCACGTTGCAGTTACTGTATTAATCTATCTAATTCTGCTTTTAATAAATATCATCTTTAATGCCTTGAGACGTGCAGCAGATAGGTCACGCAAACAAGGATTAGACATGGCCGATACATCGGAACCCCTAGCCAGTCAGCTGCTGTCGGACGACCCCCTCCCGTCTGGTGTTCCGCTAGAGTTTCCCTTGGAGGAGGGGCGTGGGATGCAGTCCGCCGCCTCCAAGAAGCATCCTGCTTCCCCAGACATCCCGTCATCGCAGCCAAAGTCTTAGAGGGCCTCGACATCTACTCAACGCAGACTCCGTACCCCAGGGCAGCGTCTACCTCCAAGGGAAAGTCTACGAAGTCGTCAAGAACCTTCTCAGCCGAGATTGTTCCAGCCGCTGAACTGGGCCTCTACGATGATCAGCCGATCATCATCCCCGACCTACGCCACAAGAGACGACCGGTGTCGGCTACAGTGACGTCAGCACAGATCGCCATGCAGCCTGATGTGTCAACACCGATGTCGGACGATCTTCCTGAGGGCCCCGTCGCTAACATCGCAGAGAGGGCACCGACTACATCGTCGCAGACCGTCCCAGACGACCTGATGCGGCAAATCATGATGATGATGGAGGACCACTACAGACTGGAGAGACAACCAACCCAGGACCTGAGCCTTCGCGAAGGCTCCAACGTAGACGACACCCCAGAGGGACCCCCCCGTCAACGTAGCGGCCACGACGAAGCCACCTTCGCGAAGAAAGTCACAGACCACCTCGACGAAGGACCCAGATGTACAGCCTTCGCAAAGGCCTTCACGAAGGCTTGATAGATCATCACCTACCTCGGCTTCATCCTTAGATGCGGACTCGGACCACCAGACTTCACGAAAGCCTTCGCGAAGGTCAAGTCGTCGTTCCCCAGGACCGGACGCAGAGGAAGCTTTGCGAAGGCCTTCGCGAAGGGCACCATTATCAGGCTCTAAATCATCTTCGTCCAGAAGGACATCGAGGGATTCCACAAGAGCTTCGCGAAGCTATCAACATTCACCTCACAGATCTCCGCGAAGGTCAACCTTTAGACGCAGATCGTCAGGCCGTTCACCAAGACGATCCCCTCGCCATTCTCCATGCCAATCACCTCGTCCTTCACCACGCCGATCTCCTCGTACATCACCATCGATCTCCTCGCAGGTCACCACACAAGTCTTCACAGAGGTCCACAGTCAGGTCTCCTTTAACGTCACCCTGTACAGTGGTAGAAGCACATAGTCCACCATCTGAAGAGCATCAACCTCTTATCAGCGATCCTGTGGTAGAAGATGATGGAGGCATCATTTTCTCAGACGCTGAGATACGTTATTGGATGGTTAACAACCTAGACCTTTCTTCACCTTCCAAGAGTGGTAACTTGGCGCATACTTACCTGATGAAGGAGGACGATGCAGACGCCATCACCTTACCTCCGATCGACCCGATTGCTGCGGTGCCACAGAATTTGGACACAGCCTTCCATAAAGCCACGAAAGTTCAAACGCCACACCTACCGCACTTTCACGCTAAGAAGTTTTCAACTCATAATATGGACCCCTTCCTCAAGGCACAAGACATCGATGATAATTACAAGATGATCAACGATGTCAAGAATAAGAACTATAAGATTGACGATCGCAAAGCTGGTTCAGATAGAAACCATGACGAAGCGCATGTTCTTTGGCCTTAATAGATCTAGAAACGATCAATGAGACTCTTATCACCAGATTTCGTGACCACGACTTCTGAAGATGATAGGATGATCTACTCGGCCCTACTTATGCAAAGAAGGACCAGCAGTTCCTAACGGATCATCTCACATCAGTCTCAGCAGCGCTAACCTTAGCTCGTCGTCAAGGCCTCCTCGCTTCCTGCAGCTGGGGTGAGCAGTTTACAGCTCCACTCTATACAGCCCCGTGGTCCTCACCATCCATCTTTGACGGAGAAATAGAGAAAGTCTCCAAGGAAGTCACTAAGGATTCTAGAGAAGTCCTTATGATAAAGTCGATGGACATGCTAGCCAGCGTCATCAGGCAGACTTCACAAAGATATTCAGGGAAATCTAAATTCACTGGATTACAGAGAGCACGGGATAGGAAGATGGCCAGCTCCAGGGGAAAAGATTCTTTTCGTCGCCCATATGGCAACTACAGAGGAGGATCAGGAAGAGGCAGGGCACCCAGAGGTTCCCGCAACTATAAACGATGAAAGACAGGTTCGGAACAACTGGAGTCTTCCACCCCCAGCCGTTCCAGTACAACCGTCACAAGTGGGTGGACGCCTTCAACTGCACTGGGAGAACTGGGGAATGTTACAAGACCCTTATGTCTCCAACATTCTTCAACACGGATATCGTATCCCACTACAGGCCACGCCTCCGCTGACAGTCAACCCTCACAAGTTCGACTTCCAGGCACAACAACTATCAAAGTTAAGAGAGGCTGTTACATCTCTACTAACCAAGCAGGCCATAGAAGTACTAGATCAAGTAAACGTCGAACCAGGCTTCTACTCCCCAGTTTTCCTAGTACCCAAGAAAAACTCCAAGGAGAAAAACAGACTCATTTACAACATGAGCATATACAACAGAGATTATCTACGCAAACAGCCAACGTTTCGCATGATACATCTACCTCAATTACGGCAGTTAATTCGTCCCATGGATTACATGGCCAGTATAGATCTGCAAGACGCGTATCTACACATCCTGATACATCCCGAATCCAGGAAATACCTACGATTTACACTAGACGGGCTGCATTACGAATGGAAAGTACTCCCATTCGGATATCATCGGCCCCCTGGTTATTCACAAGAATAACGAAACCTATCGTCACCTATCTACATCATCTAGGGCTACGCAGTGCGTTCTACCTCGACGATGGGATACAAGTAGATCAAGATCCACAGCGTCTCAAACTACAGTTAAACTACATCATCAAGCTACTAACGCAGCTAGGATGGTTAGTAAACTTACTCAAGTCGGACCTAGTACCCTCGCAAGATCTGCAATTTCTAGGCATTCGATTTATCACGACTCTCAACCGTATCGCCGTACCAGAAGACCGATGGCTCAAGATCCAACAGACCATTCCTCTAGCCCTACTCTCTCCGTTACCACTACGACATTGGCAGAGCCTGTTGGGTCTCCTCACGTCAGCCCAAGACATGACAGTCAGAGGCAGACTACAGTTACGTCCGTTACAGGTCTTCATCAATGCTCATTTCGACGACCTACAACCATTCAGTCTACCGAAACACCTCAGACCTCATCTACTATGGTGGACCAGGAGGTCGAATGTCTGCGAAGGCATTTGTTTAACAGAGCAGGAATTCAAAACCCATCTATATGTAGACGCGTCGCTCCAGGGTTGGGGAGCTCATCTCGCCAACCGGACGGCTTCAGGGTTATGGAATCAGCAAGAAAGCAAGCTCCATATAAACATGTTAGAGATGAAAGCGGTAATCAACGCAATACTTCATTGGAGCACCATTCTACAAAGGCGCGTCTGATGATTCATACCGACAACTCGACAGTGGCGCTTTTATGTGAACAAACAAGGCTCCAACGAGATCACTGAACCTATTGACTTTATGCTTTCAACTGTTCGATCTAATCGACGATCTCAACTTACATGTCAGAGCATGTCACATTCCCGGAGCCAAGAATGTACTAGCAGACGCACTCTCTCGCCACATCTACCGGCCACCGACAGAATGGATGCTCCATACAGAATTTTTGCACAGATTATCAAGCAAATAGGAGCTCGCTAGTAGATCTATTCGCCACTCGCTTCAACAATCAGCTACCGACATTACGTATCGCCAGTCCGGACACACGAAAGCATGGGCAATGGACGCTCTAAGCATATCCTGGGAGGCCTCAATGCGTCACGCGCTTCCGCCGCCAGCGATAATCCCTCAAGTGTTACAGAAAATCAGACTAACACAGAGCCTCCAACTCACTTTGGTCGCGCCCTACTGGCCAGCCAGAACGTGGTTTCCCATTCTAATTCAAGAAATCGGACAACCAACACTAGAGCTACCAAAGCTCTCGAATCTATTAGTACATCCACACACCAAACAGGTGCACGGAAACCCAGAAGTATTCCAACTTCACGTATGGACTGTATTAAAATGTGTTTAAACAAGAGAGGGTATACAACCAGAGCGGCAAAAGCAGTCACGCCTGCCTTACGCTATTCTACACGTAACTTGTACGACGACAAGTGGCACAGTTTCGAAAATTATGCAGCAAATAAGGGATTTACAGCGAGAAATGCTACACATCCACAAGTGGCAGATTATTTGTGTTACCTACGCCAAAACAAACATTTAAAAGGCTCGACACTGTCAACATATCTTGCCGCTCTTAGTTCTGTGATAACTATGAGAACGGGTGTCAAGCTAACCAAGACGCCAGAGTTACTGGCCTTACTACGTGCTTTCCGATTGGAAGATCAGAAACGGAAGTTCCACGCCCCAGCTTGGGATCTGAATATAGTGCTCCAACACCTCTCAAGTGAGGCTTATGAACCGTTGGAATCGACAACCTTTGAATTTCTCTCACAGAAAACATTATTCCTGTTATCTCTAGCGACGGCAGCCAGGATGTCAGAAATTCACGCACTAGATTATGAGAGGATACAGTTTGATGACAATCAAAACACAGTGCACTTTGGACTAAGATGGGATTTCATCGCCAAAAATCAATTGCCAGGTCAACCAGACAGATTATTCCATATTCCTGCACTCTCCTCGATTCTCGGATCTCAAGATACACTGGACTTATCTCTATGCCCAGTCAGAGCTCTCAAAATCTATTTACGATGTTCCAAAACAAGGCGACGACTTCTCAAACGATTATTCATCCCCTTATCGGCAACAACTCAGACAGAAGTCTCTCGTACCACCATATCTATATGGATAAGAACTGTCATACTACGCGCCTACAAGGCTGCAGGACTCGACCCTCCAAGAGCATCAAATCCCCATGATATCAGGGCATTGGCTTCCACACTCGCTCTACATGGTAACTGTTCATTAAATACCATCATGGAAGGCTGCTTTTGGAAATCCGACATGGTGTTTGCTAATCACTATCTGAGAGATATCACCACCGAGGACGTCTCAGGTATTCACCATTTTGGTCCCATGGTCCTCGCACAGCAGTTGACAGTCCCTCGTAGACGTTAACACATAGTCTTACTTAGATTATTATGTATATTTCATACCAGTATTATCTAGCTTATAACTCTCACGGAGTTTTAGGGCTATTTATATGCTTAGCTTAAGTCTACTCAGCCTTAAGCCTGTACTGATGATTATGTTCAGTTGGGTAGCTTCTCCATGTGGGAGTCGCTTTTATATCTTTATTGCTATTATCATAGTATATTATTATTGTAATACCCCTTCTATGGCAGTGTATAAACTTATGGTTTATAGTAGCAGGAATTATCCTAAGTCAGTGCCATTATGAAGTTCCTGTTAGGGTTATTACAGTTATATATATATAAATCACTAATTAATTTTATAAATCCAAAGTATTCTGTTCTTTCCCACCTCCGCTTCCGTGAGGATTCTACAAGTTAAAGAGCATGAGTCAGGATAAGGAAAAATATATGTAATTTTTAGAGTAAAATTGATATTTTATACTTATCCTGACTCATGAGGTAAGCCCTCCCATCCTCCCCACATAACACTTTGGATTTCCCTGTAAATTCAAGTGTTGGGCTCACTATATCAGGAGAGAGTGAAGCATGAGGCCAGAAGGTGGCGCCACCTTTCCCGCGCAAAGGCAAAGGGAGGCAACTCTTGGTGAGTACTAATTAGTGATTTTACATTGAAGGGAGCTTCAATTAAGGAGATACAAGTGTTCCACTATGTTCGCAAGAAGAAGACAAGCAAAAGAGCATGAGTCAGGATAAGTATAAAATATCAATTTTACTCTAAAAATTACATATTGTTTCTCTCATCAAATTGGACTTAAAGTAACTGTCAGATGATTTGTTCTTTCAAATTTATGGGGGCTTGGGGAATTTGTATTCTTCTGATGACTTTTGTTTAAAGTGTGTCAAGGCACACTCATTTCAGGGTGCCCTTTGGGATTAAAGTGTATCAAGAAAAGTGCTTTATAGTCATCTTCACACCCGTGAATGTCATTTGACTGACTGACTGAGTTTGGTTTTACGCCGCTTTTAGCAACATCACGGCGGGGACACCAGAAATGGGCTTCACACATTGTACCCATGTGGGGATTCGAACCTGGGTCTTCGGCGTGACGAGCCAACACTTTAACCATTAGGCTACCCCACGGCCCCGAATGTCATTTGAACCCTTAGGTAGATCATTAGCATGTTTAAATTAGTCCGCCTTCTGTTACTGAGGTGGACAATGGCCTGTTTCTCAACTAAGGAAATCATATACGGCCAAACTTGATGGATAAACAACTTCTTTAATCAGATGATGACATTTCGATACAAATTCATGTTGACAACGATACAAGAATCTGTACTGAAACGTCGCACCACCGGAATAAAAAAGTTGTTCATCCATAAAGTTTGTCCTTATCTGACTCTCCAACTTCTAAAAATGCCACTCAAAGAAGTTAAGGGAATCATTTTTGACAGAAAAGTGTATAAGAGGTGCTTTGTTGCAGGTATGCCCCTGAGAGCGTTAACTATGGACAGTTCTCCCATGCGAGTGATGTGTGGAGCTATGGAGTCACTCTGTGGGAGATGTTTACATTTGGGGAGCCGCCGTATGGAGAGATGAAGGGGATTGAGGTTATTATCTAGTCTTCTTCCGTGTCACTTCTTTGCAGGTCCTATCGGGATCTGCAAAGATCCAGGTTATAATTGATCTTCAGTAACTCATGCTTGTCGTAAGAGGCGAGTAACAGGATCAGGTGTTCAGGCTTGCTGACTCGGTTGACACATGTCATCGTATCCCAGTTGCGTAGATCGATGCTCATGCTGTTGATCACTGGATTGTCTGGTCCAGACTCGATTATTTACACACTGACGCCATATAGTTTGAATATTGCTGAGTGTGGTGTAAAATTAAACTCACTCACTCACTCCATATGAGCTTCATGGCTAATTCAGTTTCAGTTGTTGTGTAAGGTGACTTGCTATATCAGGCAATCAGACTTGTTCTGTGTCTAGTGGATTGTCTGGTCCAGACATTTGTTGAAAACTCTTATTATGACTGTATAAAACGACAAGCACATGCACACATACATACCGCCCTCCCTAGTGCTACACACAGCTATCAAAGGGTAAAGTACTGTCGGAAATAGAAAAAAACTGTTTTTAGGCTGTTACTCTGTATCCCTAAAATTTACACAATTCCAAATAGCATAATAATAAATAATAATAATTGATTTATAGAGCGCCTATTTCCAAAAGATATTGCTCAATGGCGCTATGAAGAGAAAAGATTGTAGACAATGTCTATGGAAAAGAGAGTTTGAACAGATGAGTTTTGAGGGCAGTTTTGAAAGCATCAGCAGATTCTATTTCTTTTAGGGTGAGTGGTAGAATGTTCCAGAGATAGGGGGCTGCAGCAGAGAACGCATATGTCGAAATAACCCACTTCGGCCTAACTGCGCGTTCAGTGGGATGCGTAATAGGATATGCAGGAAGCATGTTTACTTAGAAAAAATAAGAATAGCTGCTGAAAGCAATAGATCAGACTATAGATTGCAATTAGGTCGCTCAGCCAGGTATGAGGACGAACCCTCGACTCACTTGGCATGAAATGCATGTGCTGCCCACAGGCACGAGGGATCATCTCAAACATATATTATGCTTTTTCATGTTTATCGAATATGTCTCTATTGATAATCTTATCTTATAGTTTTTATAGCTGATATCTCTATCCACCAGCCCGACCCCAACCACCATCTGTGACACCCATCCTGGTTTTGCTTTTGAGACGACCCCTCCTACCCGTTTCTCTTTATCGTGATAGTGAGACTCAATGGCATCTACAACCTTAATAGTTTCAGCATTAAAAGTTGTTATTTATTACGTCTGCTATCATTTATAATGAAGCTAATTTCAAAATGGGCATTTAATAAGTGCCATTTGTAATACAATACCATCACACATTAATCTGCATATAGCCATGGTCTGCGGTCAGCAGGAACTGTACTAGTTGTCATATCAAACGAAACCACTAAATCAGAATCTAATATTTGTTTTAATTTACCTTTTATTACCTTTACAATATCTTACATTCCTAACTTTCTATTACTAAACCTCTGTCAAACAATCTAACACCCAAATGGTTACCACTAACAGAAAATCTCAAGGCGTGCTGCCTTATCAAAGCATCAAAACCAACTAACTACAATTTCACTTCAATCCCTACACGTGGCAAAAACACATGCTTTTTGCATGCTCGAGCTTTCCGCGAAGTAATTTGTTGTCAGGTGTGTTTACGCGAACTATTCGTATGTACACAAACTGAAACCTAATAACCTGTCTGGTTAACAGTAGTGAATAAATCAGTACAATGAATGAACAATTTGTGTGGATAAACCTTTTGTCCAATCTGTTCTAAATAAGTCGCATTGGACATTTCTTCACTAATCTCTCCTCAGTAAAGTCCTTCTTTTACGTTTCCTATCTCCCTACCACTGATACTGTAGTTAGGCCGAATTTAGTTTAACAGATATTTCACACTTTCATATATTAACTACCTAAATTGTAGATATAAATGTGAAAAAACAGGTTTTCTCTATTTCTATTACAGTACTTTAGTACATAACATTTAGCCTTCACTTCATGGCAGTTAAACATTTGATATTTTGAGTGTGGCATTAAGCAACAAACAATAAACAACACAGGTGACTCGTCTCTGAAGGCGACCAGAAATCTATATGTGATTCTCTCCGATGATGTTCCAGGTGTTTCAGCAACTTATTGACAAACTGAAAAGGTTGAGAGGTTATTTGTGATGAAAAATAATCTGATCTGAGTGTCTTTTTTTATATCACCCATGTCAACATGATGCAATGTATGTTGACAGCTTATGTTGACAGCTCGTTGATATGTTCGACATCAATAGACACACAGGTGAGATTGTCTGTATATTGGTTTGTTCAAGCTTCATGTTGATATACTCGACATAGAAAGACACACAGGTGAGATTGTCTGTATATTGGTTTGTACAGTATACTGTAACAGGTGCTTGTTACACCAGGTGGTACAGTACATCGAGCACGGAAAGAGGCTGCTGAAGCCAGACAGGTGCCCCAAGACAGCGTACGACATCATGCTCAAGTGCTGGTCTTGGAAGGCCGAACACAGGCCACAGTTCATGGACCTGGCTAAACACTTTGATGAGGACCCTGAATATGCAAGCATTCAGGATCTGTTGAAGAGGGGCTGGAAAAAAGAGTAATGTGCGGTGAAGAAGTTTGTTGAGGTTGTTGAGATTTCAAGGGGTCAAGGGGGGTTCAGATAGAGGCTGGAATGTTGATATTGAGCTCACTGAGATGAGCTAAGCTGTTTCAGTGAGCTACAGCTGTGTTATTAGTAGGTGTGGGTGAATAGTGGGAATAATATAGGATGTTGTTGGATCAGGAAAAGCAATAGCGCAGTGGGGTGTGGTAGAGTCTTGGGGTTAACTAGCTGGGTTTAGCTGTGGGGTGGCTAGAACTGTGGGATAGAGTGAGATTGAACTGTCAGTAAGAGTAGAGGGTGAAAAATATCTCCAGCACAGAAGTGAGTTGAATTCTTACAGATAATTTAGGCAGGGGATGTTGACAACTAGCTTACAAAGCTATCACCCCTGAAACATGTTACATGATCCCTGAATAACATGGAATTTAGATGTTTTAACCGTATTAAAAATGATAAAATAGATTATGGTTAATGGACAGTTTGAGTTCGAGTAGATTACAGCTAACTGACATAATATATGTCTCCAATAATGCACAGCAGACATGTTTACAATGAATTGTGGGATAGGGGCGGCCTCAGTTTGAACCCAAACTGACTGATGTGTGAGCAGACAAGCAAGTAATGCATATTAAGTATATATCACAAGTGTTCCCACCGTTTGCTTTCTCTGCACTACTATATACAAAGATTCAGTGTATTCTCTCTCAGTCCATGTCACTTGATAGGGGATGTGTTGGAGGCCTTGAAACTGTTCCAGAAACCTGAAGGCCCCAAGACCAGGTGCTCCCTTTCCAGGACTGTTAACTGTGAGTTTGTCTCTCTAGTGCCTTCTATGCAAACTGTCCATGTATACAAAGTCCCAGGAAGAAGCTTTCATAGATCCATGTTGCCAGCAATGCTGCAGAGTCTGTGTCTTCTGTGTGTCTAACAAGAGAGATCTCCACCATGTTCTACCCCTATGTTGAAGGATGTAAAACCGTCACCAGGGACTGGTGTCACATCTGTGCCAAATACTTCTGCTGAAGAGGTCACTACGGAAATGTAGACCAAGTATGTTTCTGTATAGAGAAATCACCCTAGTGGAAATCATAATACATGGAGGTAACTCTGTTGCCACTGTAGATAACTGTAGTCTGAAGTCCTTTTATCTTAAAGCAAAACTAATTCCTCTTTGGACTGATGAATTCAGTGTTGGCTTACATGCTGGAATCATGTCAGATATTCTATTCCGCAGATGATATATAATGTATCCCACTCCGCAGGTGATATATAATGTATCCCACTCCACAGGTGATATGTAATGTATCCCACTCTGCAGGTGATATATCATGTATCCCACTCCACAGGTGATATATAATGTATCCCACTCCGCAGGTGATATATAATGTATCCCACTCCACAGGTGATATATAATGTATCCCACTCCGCAGGTGATATATAATGTATCGCACTCTGCAGGTGATATACAATGTATCCCACTCTGCAGGTGATATACAATGTATCCCACTCCGCAGGTGATATACAATGTATCCCACTCCGCAGGTGATATACAATGTATCCCACTCTGCAGGTGATATACAATGTATCCCACTCTGCAGGTGATATACAATGTATCCCGCTCCGCAGGTGATATACAATGTATCCCACTCCGCAGGTGACATGTATCCCATGTCATGGACTACTGCAGATTCAGCAAACAAACAAACAAACACAAAGCTATGCAGTGGTCGACAAGGATACATTTCAGCTCAGTTACAGCCTTTATACAGAGATGTCCTGGGTTACAATTCTGTAGTGCTCTGTACAACAATCCCTTCAGCCATACTTCTGTTATGTTGAACTTAGGTATGCTATGTCACTCTCGTATATATGGATACACTGCCATTGCTCTGTCCACTAGAGAGGTACCGGGTATGCCATGCTTGTCATTAGAAGTGCCTAATGAGGCTAAAGTGTTCAGTCATGTGCGCAGATGCTCTTGTGTGACCTGATAAATTGGATAAGTACTCTTGCAATTCAGCCTCTGGTTTGGCAGGTTTCATGTTATTGGCTTCCATAATATAGCTGTAACATTGCTGACTTTGTAACAAATATTATCTTTGGGATTACACTTTCTCAGTAAAATGCAGATTCTAGTACTTTTGTTGGGTTGAGTCCCATCCTGGATTCGAACCCACACTCTCAGTGTCAGGCACCTCACAAAAAGTCAGCCACCTAACCAACTCGGCCACCGCAGCTTCCATTAATTTGGGTGCACATTTTTTCAATTTTTAACACACAAATTTGACAGCAGATTTATTGGACATTTTTTCAGTATTTACTGGAATAAATTTAGCTTCATTCTTTATCCTTCCCAAACCAGAAATGAATACCATATTAATTTTGGTATACATTTTCCAATATTTATCACAAATCTTGGCTGCTGACAGCAAGGTTTCACTTGTCACAGAATCATGTGACAACATGCATACCCTCCTGGTCGCTTGTATCATGACAGGGAGAGTTCAGATAGTGGGGCAGAGCCATGCAAAATTACTACCACTCACGATGTTATTATCTCCTGCTCGTTCACGTGAAGCGATATGTCATTTTCTTTCCACCAGAAAAAAAAGTTTGATGAAAGTGTAACCTGTAGATAAGCTAACCCCCTTCTACAAACTGCTTTTTTTCCCCTCAAAATTAGTCTCATCTACGATCATATACGGTAATTTCTGGTGTGCTGACACCCCCCACCACCACCCCGTGATATTGCTGGAATATTGCTAAAGGCAAAACCCAACTCACTCACTCACTCACTCATATACGGTATTAAACTTATTATAATCCAGATATCCTCATATAAGATGAAATTTTAACAAGAGAAACATCAGGCAAATTGTTTTGATTCTAAATGAAATGTCTTGGCCTGAAATAGCAATGTCTGGCCATCCAGTACCCATTATATTCTCTGGAACAGGTTACAGCATGGTATATTGTCAGTATATACCTCTGGAACAGGTTACAGCGTGGTATATTGTCAGTATATACGAGGATGACATAACAGCTGTAGATGTGTTTCCTGTTTTTTTGTAGTCATGGCGATATGTCGGCAGTCCATGTACATAACAGAACTTTTGTACCTGTTGTATAAACGTGGACTTCAAGTTTGTATACAAGTTATATCTGTATTCATAGGAATGTTTTTAGTGGACTTGTTTTAGGAAATACATTGTAATGTCAAATCGTATCTAAAGAGGGACTGGACGTGTACAATTGGGTCCCTTTGTTCCAAGTACCGGTAATTCATCAACCACTTTGTCTTTAACTCACTGTTGTGAACTGTAGTCCCTCTTTAAGGTTGGAGATAGCATTGACTGCACGGTCTCATTGATGTCAGATTGTGTACTCTCCATTAGAGGTCACATCAGGGGAACTTTCTTATTGGACAATCTTTTAGTTAACTGATTTTTTTCTTCTTATAAACCCTGAGTACAAGCAGGCAGGTCTTGAAGACACGTTACATCTCTAAAATAAACATGAGCATCAAGTTACAAATGCAAAAATAAAGGACAATACCGTATATGATATGGTTCCAGATTTTTTTCAAATGTTGTATGACACACAAAAGAAGCTACTTCGAAGGAAATGTTTGTTTGCTGTCCAGCTTTTCTTTTATTGATATTGACATTGTTTCAACAAAGTGTTAACAATAAGTAAATGAAGCTGAACCAGGAGAGCATACAAATTCATGCATCTCCCATTTAAAACTGAGAGTCAAAATGTGCTCACAGATCCTATGAAGGAGTTCTGATATCCTCGTGGAGATCTCGTAAGGAGTTCTAGATCTGATCTGAATGATATTGGTGTTAGGTAGAGGCTGTAGAAGCCTATGTAGAAGTCTAACAGACCATAGAAGCTCCCAATTCATGTGAGTTGGTCAGGTGCATAATGTATGTTTGAAAACACCACTCGTTGTATAACAACACAGCTAGGCGCTGGTAGCTTGGTAACGCCACAAAAGCTGATTTGTAAATAACATCTCGCAATTCTTCATCATGCTGAATTTACATCATTACTTTGTTTTTATTCCAGAAGTTTGTTTTATTTCCTTGCAAACATGTTCCTCAAATGAAGGCTTATATCATAACATATCTCTAGTATTGTTTGTTAATCCAACCAAAGCATAGTGAAGGAATCATACAACCATCAAGCTTTGAAATCAAACCAGATTGGTTACATATATGACTTCAATGAAATCACTACATCTTTCTTCCATAGCTTCCACATTAGGAAATATAGCAGGACCCGATTTCTCGAAACAAACTGAAGTTTTTACTCAAATTTCAAATTGAATTTGACAAATTGAAACATCTGAATTTTTAACTCAACTGTATTTTTAAAATACGAAAGCCCATACAAACTTCAGTAACATATTCACCAAACTCAAATTGTCTACTATGTTTGAGTTTAATATCGATTTCAGTTCATTCTGGGAAATTCATTTTCCTGCTTTTTCGCAAAATTTAGTAAAAACTCTAACTTAAGTCAAAACTCAGACAGAAGTTTTTTGAGAAATCGGGGCCAGATCAACCAAATTTGCAAAGTTTTTGTTTGGGGAAATAACCCCTTGTATCTACAGTATTGCTGCCAAGCACTTGCAACAAGTGGAAAGCATGTAATCTGTAGGCCTTTGTTTTCTATGTGTTAGTATGTCCACGATCGGGGGAGGAACATAGGCAACAGAAGACACAGGTATAACAGGTTGAAGTGATGGCTCTGCAAATTTGTTTTTATCCGCAGTCGGCACCAGTGCCAATGAAGAATCACTGTACCAATGATGATTTGATACACAATTACTAAACACAAAATAACACTTAAGTTTGACAACTTCCTGTCACAACTATTTTGCTATTTGCCATGATGGTCTCATATCCAAATTTGTAGACCTGACGTATCAGCTAGCTAGACCATCTCAGTTGTATGATGGTGCTACATAATGATGACTAATAATTGTCTGCTGGACCAGCATATTTGTCAAATCCTGGCATTGCCTTGGAATCTTGGCCGCTGATTGGACAGTTCTCTGAATGCTGTAGAACAGTCAATTTCCTGGTCATATACATATTTCTTGCATTGCTAAGTCTAAATCTTGCTCTTGTGAAGATTTTGTTGCCTATATATCCTGATATTTGGAGTTTTCGGATGCCTATGAAACATTAATTGTTTACTCGTTAATCACATGAACAACTGTAATACATCTCACTAACGTTTGATAGGCAACATTATCATTAAAACTAAACTGTCATCTGAGTGTTTACAATGTCTCGGTTACACAACCAACATCTATGTAACGAGTAATTGCAATAGACATTTTACTGCAAATTCCCTTATTCTGTATTCTGTTATCAATATACAAATTGATATGTTGTACAAAAGTAAAATTGTGACGATAGATATTACCATATCAGTAATATGTGAATGATGGCTAGAGCTAGCACCTTATGTAGTTTAGGCAATGCATTAATACTCCTGTAAAACAGCTCATCAGGTACGTGGTGAGATATGTTAGGTTTAGCCAAGAGTATATAATGTATACCCTATCTATATACAATCTATAATCATTGTGTATACTGTATGAACAATCTGTAGCCTCTACTGTGACTTCTGTCATCATATTTCAATATTTCTGAATGTTTCATAATTTTTCAGTAAAATACTAAAATATGTAAGCATGTACGAGGTTCAGTGGCATTAATTGTGAAACTGATCTTTTTCTAAATATTAACTTTAGTAAGAAATTGACAGCATTCTCCATGAAACCGAACACTCATAGCATGTATAATAGTTCTTTAAGTAAATAAAAATCTATACCACAAAGCAGCCTTAGCACAATGGTTGACTTAGCCCCTTTTCTAGTGTGATTATCTATTGTAACAACCTTAAACCTTTTGAAATGCTCATGTTAGTCTATGAGCCAAGTCATTTCCTTAAAAATTTCTTAAGTCTGTGAGGAAAAGGAAGGCGTAGTTCAGAAAACTTCAACAAAGAGCTTCCAAACTTGTCCCATGATGTGACACAGTGGCGTGCTATGAGGATCCCAAGTTAGAATCAATAACCAATGTCCTTTACTTGTAGTAAGATGTGGCCAGATGAACCAGCAGGCCAGATTCTCTGACTTGGTTGAAAACGTCTTGATACCTGATAGTGTAGACTTTTGATCATAATATTAAAAACTTGATTTTCTAGCTCAGTATTCATAGGCCACCATCATATAGCTGGAATATCACTGATTGCGGCTTTGAACAACGAAAATTAATAAAAGAGGCTGGCTCAAGGAAATATTGCTTTTTCTGGCAGATTATCTCCCTTGATAGTAGTAATTACTGTCCTAGTTCTTTGTTTGCATGAAATTAATGAAGTACATGATTTAACTGGCAACAATCACTGGACTTTAAGAAACATTTAATCAGCCAGTTCTACATTGGTTAATGTACTGGCATTTTACTGATTAACAGTCTGAAAATGTTGAAGAGTCTGAATTAATATTACCCTGTTTGTTTGTCATTGTTACAAAATATTGTTGAGATGATGTGAAATCGACTGATGTCAAAATTTCATTATAGTCATCATTGCAGTAACCTGATCCCAAAGTCAGCACTGATAAGTGCTTTTTATCACAAGTTAATATCATCTTTTGTGTCATTTTGCATATCATATTACTCATTAAAGGATTGTGTACAGTTTTATTTATTTTTGTACTTCTTCATTTTCAATATTTTTTAACATTTGTGGACATAAGAGGCATAGAGATAACACTGGATTTGTTGATGCATTTGAATTTAAGGAATGAATTAAATTGAATAGTATTTTGTCGCCTTTAAGTTCTTGAACCTTCTGTCTTAAGTGCATGCTTAACTTCCAAATAACTTGAGTAATTATCTTGCATTTGCATGTTTGTCACACATTATTATCAATTCTTTTGTATTTGCACATAAAAAGTATACCCAAAGGTAGGTAGAGTAATGGTAGATTTGTGTTATGATGGTTCTAATCAAATTCCAGTTAGCCTAAACACAATACTCTCCAGAAGTCTTTATTGAGTTGAAAACACTATTCATAAGTAATGGAGACCTCACCTTCTTTATTTCTTTGTTTGTTTATTTTGAAGTTATTACTTTTACGAATACAGGTGTTGAGTTTTAAGTCTTATATTTCTTTCTTGCTCTTAAATATTTTTATGATTTTTCCAGTTTCTCATAAGTATCAACATTCATACTCTCGGTTAAATAGTCATGTATGCATTTTCGCTGAAAATGTTTGTCAGCCAAACCATCCGCTAATTGTTCCAACTCCCTGTCATGCTGTCCTCATTGTCCTAGTTTTTCTAATACACAAACATTTTGTTTATTGAAACCGGAAATGAAAACCAATCATATACTGAACCCTACATTGTTAAACAGTCTAAAAAAGAAACTGAAATGAATAAGGTATCTGTGTGTCCCTGTACCTCAACATAAGGCATCTTACAATACCAATCACTGGATAGTCTGGTCCAGAATGTTTACAGGCCACCATTACGTATAGCTGAAATATTGTATGGCTTTAAATAACTAACAATATCCTGTGCAAAGTGTTTCAATTTGTCAGTGAGACTTGATTCAAAATGCATTTTATTTGTTTTCAACATCCCTTAAGGCCACTCAGATCAATGCTGTCACATACATGAACAATTGCGGGATCTGCTTGTCTTGGGTTCAAATCTCGAATTTGCCAAAGTAATGATCATTGATCGTTCAGCATCATTGATATACTGATGGGTCTAAGATCTGCATCAGTTTGTTCTCTCTACACACCAGGATGGACAGAAATAGAGATTCAAGCAGCTCTAAACCCAACACACGACCCATGTGTTTGGGGCAATTATTCAGTTGCAGTAAAAACATGTTAATTGATAAAAGTACCTGTCTGTACCAACTCTGTATATATCAGCCAGGGTCTCGTTTCACAAAGCGTTCATAGAGCTACAACATATCGTAACTCAATACTTTATGATAGGCTTATGAATGACATAGTGCTACAGATAGCATCTCCAAGGTCCTCATCCACAAGCGTATGTAGCGCTACCCTATGCTAAACTGTAGAGTTACGACAGATTGTAACATTACGAACGCTTTGTGGATCTGGCTAGCTATTCTCGAAACGTGCGTAACCGTACGAACTTCGTAAGCCCATTCTTAACACATTGGCTACGATCAAAGTTAAGAATTCTTAGGGCTACGAACGTTTCGAGAATAAGGGCCCTGGGCCTAGATTTTCGAAGCTCTCTTAACGCTAAGATAGTCATAAGTTAATGTTAATGTATGGCACTTACGACTATCTTAGCGATAAGAGGGCTTCGAAAATCTGGACCTTGGGTCCTTATTCTCGAACCATTCGTAGCCCTAAGAATTCTTAACTTTGATCGTAACCAATGTGTTAAGAATGGGCTTAAGAAGTTCATGGGGCTACGAACATTTCGAGAATAGCTAGCCAGTACCTTGGAGATGCTATCAACAGGACCCAGATCCACAAGCGTTCATTGAGGACTATGATATTCGTAAGTTGATGGTAAACTGTAGCGTTACAACAGATCGTAATATTACGAATGTCTGGGCTGCAGCAGGAACTGGTTTGACTTCGACCTGTGTGTATGCTGTACAGACTGTACCATGTACCATAGGGAGTATCACGTGATATTGTAACATTGTAGTTCCCGACATTTGTTCATTATATTTCTACGATTGTTATTGTTATCCAGATATATCACACCCGTCAGACAGTAGTGACATTGTTATCATGTGTATCTATTCAAATAAATCATTATCACTTTGTCACGTATTTGGGGTTGTTGTTTTTTTGGTTTTAGCTGGGAGGCATGAATTGCTCAGTTGTGTGAGGGACCACATCTCATTGTGCAGACATGGGTAAGTTAGTGTCTGTTCTGCGAGTGGAAGGTTTGCGTTCGATCATCAGGCTAAGTAAGGTTAGATACTTGTTCAAAAGAGCCTTTGACTGCAGAATTGTATCTCAGTGGGCTTATGCTCTTAACCTCTATTAGTCCAGACTAGTACACGCATGCACACACGAACAGGCCCACACATGGATCAAGTAGCCATATAAGGGTCATGATGTGGAAGACAGCCTTAAACAATGTTTCATCTGGGTAAGTGAGCGAGTTGCATTGTTTTGTAGTAACAATGTTTCACAAATTACGTCATAACGTATTATGATGTAATTCGTAAAGTTTGTGGTGCTGTACTCTAAAGGTATGCCACGCTGCATGCGCTGGAGCAAAAGCGCTGAGCTTGCACAGTGTACCAACGATGAAAGCAGTTTAAGATATTTCCAGTTTTCGACACTCTTTTATTTATGTTTGAAACCAGATTTCAGAATTCTCACATCCAATACCGAGCGATCGCAATTCTAGCGCAGCTTCTATTTTCAGAGAAAAATGTGCAACCCATACTTCTGTGCACCTTCAGACAGATAAAAGGTAGATGTATACCACTTTACTTTACCAACACCAGTTTGCAAAGTGTACCAACAGGGGAAGCAGTCTAAGATATGTCCGGTCTTCAACACTCTTTTAACTATGTTTGCAGACAGAATTCAGGACACTCTCATTATCGGTGAGGGAACTCCCCCCAAAGAGGGTCATCGTATCGTTGAAAAGATCTGAATTAAGTGAGATTGCTCAGACTTAAAAACATTCTGAAATACTCATCATTCGGGCGTACACCATGAACCTTATACCCCCTTCACACTTGAGGCGGAATGAACCGGAATGCTGTCGGAATGAAAATTCCTGGAGATTCCTGGAAATTCGAACTGCATTCTAAAACTTCTTAGTCCATTCCAAATGCACTCCAACTATTCGTCAATTCTTGTAACATGCCCGAATGTTTTGAACATGTTCAAAACTTTCGAGGTACATTCGAAGTGGAAAAATATCGAACAGCATTCGAAGTGCATTCTAACTGCATTCTAAGAATTCTTACTGCATTCTAACTGCATTCTAAGTATTCTGAATGTATTCGAGGGAGAATTGAAAAGGCAAGCCATTTCAAATCCTGCAAGAATGTCCCGAATGCGCCTCGAATGTACTTCGATTGCTGGTGGAAGTTAGGTGGAATATTCGATTGCACTTGGAATACAGCTCGAATGTACATCGAATACACCTCTAATACAGTCAGAACGTCCCGAATGCTCTTCAAATGGGCCCTGGCGTCATCAGAACACCGCCGAATCGCATATAAACGTAGCCATCTGTCACTGAAACTTCAGACATCATTCACACCTTCAAGCTGCGTAAGTTGTCTCCAGCCTCCTGGCACCACGTTGTGCTGCTCATCTTCCTCATCCACCATACCATTGTGGAGATTAGGATAACGATTCCTCATCAAGTTGTGCAGGCTGACACAGCATTCAATGATGTCCTTTACAACGGAAGGCCTTGGCAGCATGGTGGTGAGGAGGATTTGCCATCTCTGGGCCATGATTCCAAATGCATTTTCCACTACCCGTCGGCCCCTGCTGATGCCGTAGTTGTAGATTCTCTCGTCTCTCTGGAGAGTCCTATGACCATACGGTTTCATCAAGAAGGCCCTTATTCCAAAGGCATGATCTCCCAGAATAAAGCATGGCATACGCTCGTCATCTTGGGGTAAGGGGAACGGATCATGAAATCATTATGCTTCCGTCTTCAAGACAATCCTTGAGCTCGCACTCGTTGAAGATCTGAGCATAAGACATACTTCCGTAAGCACCAACGTCCACCCACGGGGACTTGTGATTTCCATCCACAAGGGTCATTTGGACCACAGAGAAGAAGCCCTTGTAGTTGTGATACAATGAGCCGCTCTTGGCAGGCTTCCCAATGGCCACATGTTTGCCATCTAAAGCTCCCACGGCATGAGGAATATTCCATCTGTTTCCGAATACCTCTTCAATTGGTGCCCTTTCTTCTGGAGTGGTAGGACAGATGGTAACTCATCCTTGTATTCCTCCACAATGACATTATATACTTCTGGGATGACGAGGATGATTGTGTTCCTTGTCACGCGGAAGCTGTACATGATGCTGGGGAACCTATCACCTTAAGCCAGGACCCTCAATGCTATGGCTAGCTTCAAGTCTGGAGGTAGCGCCTTTCTCACATATGTATCCTGCTTCTGTGTTCTTGGCTCCACTCTCTGCACCAACTCATCAAACGTGGCAGGCTCCATCCTGAGGTAGTTGAAGAATGACTGCGTGTCCTGAGCTCCTCCATCAGTCTTGTGTAATGTCTATACAGCCTCCTCCTTTCCTCACTCAGCCATGGTCTGGTCTGTAATCTCCTGTTTCTTCTCCTGGTCTCCTCCACATCACGTTCAATCAGGGCTTGCTGGAGGACAGCAATCTGGAGCAACGCAACATGGTCCAAGTGGTCCATAATCTATATGGGAGTGGGGCAGTGACTGATGAATAGTCCAGTTTTTATACCCCATCGTGGAACATTCCGGCAGCATTTGATGCATTTCGGACATTCGTGTTACATTCTAAGTGCATTTGAAGGACTTTTGAAATATTCGAGCTGCATTCTGTTTTAATTCTTTAACATTCGATCCATATTCGGGGGTCATTCCAAGAGGGTTCTGAATGCATTCTATGTATATTCGTACAGTATTCGAAGTACTTTCCAACTGAAATTCGAGTGCTATTCACACAGCAATCGAACCGGATTCGTACGGCAGTCGAAATACATTTTAGGTATTCTTAGTGTATTCTAACGGCATTCCAATTATTCCCACTGTATTCAGATTCATTCGAGCTGCATTCGTGATCCAGTACATTTGGAATGAGTAAGAATCATTCGAGGCAGGTTCAAAGTGTGTTCTAAGTATTCCAACAGCATTCTTACAAAGCTTGAGAAAAATTGTTTATTTTGACATTCTCTCCCGAATGCGGTTCGAATTTTGGGAAAACAAAATATCTGGCTGATTCTCCTTGATTCCTGTCAATTCGAAATAAGTGTGAAGGACCCTTTACTGCCTGGTGATATGCTTCAGACCAGACATATTTTGTGTCTACCGTTGCATGAACAAACATGATAAGACATCCAGACGAGTGAGTTTAGTTTTATGCCGCTTTAAGCAATATTCCAGCAATATCACGGCGGACATCCAGACGACCTCAGCTGACACTACAACTGCCTTTCAACGATAAATGGGTTATCATTGGGTGTGGACAGTACCCGCAACTCATTCTTACACTTCACCATGAATGCGGAAGGTTATACTTTCCCCGCTACTCGGAACATTCTGACCAGCAAAATACACCGCCTATATCTACTGACCACGTTCTTCACAGGGAAAAGTCCAACATAGCATGGCTTTCTGGGAATGGAGCCCACGTGACCACGGACAGTTGTAATGTGAAACCCATGTCCAGGCACCTCGGTCGTCCAGGTATAACCTACAGAGACGATTACATTTGCAACCACGTTGGCATTTCTGGGAACACAATGGCCGATCTTGCTGCCAAGGCAGCACTACACAAATCTATGACACCACTTCTTATCCCATACTCTGAATACAAAGCTAGCATTAGAACCTACATCCGTGATCTGATGCAGAAGAAGTGGAACACCCAAGTAGGTATAAATAAATTACATGAAATAAAACCTTATATCGGTTACACCTACTTGGGTTGTCAATCCAGATTTGAAGAGGTCATTATGCGACGATGTCGCATTGGCCACACTAGATATACTCACGAATATTTACTGAAAGGCGAAGATCCTCCGTTTTGCATCCCTTGTGATGAAAGAATCATTTCAATGTCAAAACAT